GAGTTGAACATGGTGAACAAGATCAGCGTGACAAGTTCGGTGTAACATGAATCTCTGCCCAAAACAATGATTCTAAACAACTGCACATGCTGTTTACGAGAAAAGCAAGCTTCTGTGGTTCAAAACAGCCTCAGAACTTCTTGTTTTTCAAGGCTTGTGCTCGGGAGTTTTGGGGGCAGATCTGAAATTTGACTTTCTAGTTCAATGGGAAGCTACAGGAAGTTATTTCTAGCTCAATGGGAAGTATGTATCAGTGCTGATACATGCTCTGGGGATGTTTTGGTTTGGGGGAAAAATGGGGTTTGTGTGTAGGTAGCCAGGTCTGTGCTACTTGGATAGGATGACAGAGTCAGGTTTTAGAGTGATACATCAGTGTGGCTTTGTTTGCCCCAGACAAAGGTTTCAGGTTTAAACTTTGAGGGTACTGGGATTGCCTGAGAGGGTGCAAGCTTGGAGCTCCCTTGACAAAGGCTCAGTGTCAGTTTACTGCACATTTTACACCTGTTAAGGTACTTGGCGTCAGCTCAGTGAAGATTTTAATGAAAAAATGGAAGTGGAAGCATCTTCAGCCATTGCAAACCATCTTTGCAGTATGTTTTTTATCTCCTCCTGGCTCCCCATACGCACTCAATGCACACCTACTTTTTCCCAGGTGAGAAAAAGGTGCAGATGAATGCTGCTTGCCCCTCCAAGGGCGGGGGCAAATCCGAATGGATCTCAAGTAATGCCTCCAAAGAGCAGCAGTGACACCCACCTTTCAGCTTCCCTGCAGAGAGCGGTCCAGCTCCTCGTGGCAACGCTGGGACAGCTAAAGGCAATAGGAATGAAGGATACATGTGTGGGCACACGTTGTGTGCTCTTGTACTCTCAGGTGACAAACCTCAAGAAACTTCCCAGGTTAGCTTGTGTCTTACTCCCAGAGCCTCTCCATGTGCATTGTTTTTGTTCCAGCTTCATCTCCCCCAGCTCACAATCTGTCTGTCATGACTCACATGCTCGCTGGCTTTGATTTAGACTCCATCTGCTTTCTCAGCCACCGGAGGAGAAGTGTGGGAATGGAGCAGAACATATATCTGTATTCAGGAGGGAGGAGGAGGAGGTGTATTGACTCCAGCCTCAAAGTTTCTCCTTGTCTCATCCGTCTCAGCGTTTGGCTAAGATGCAAAATGTAAGTCTGTACTTGCTAGTAGTAAGGCTGGGGCTGACTTGGAGAAATTTGTCCTTCCTGAGGGTGTGTGGACCCTCAAATCAGATTTGGTCTTAAGAGTGTTGCCACTCACTGTCCATTTATGGGTTTTTTTTTAAAAGGAATGTCCTTTCTCTCCTGCTTATTTAAAGGGCTATCACAGTTGCCTGAGAAAAAAATAGCAGTTATTTCTCTGCGGACAGAGGAAGGTGACTCAAAGGTAGCAGGGAGGCTGTGTGCTAATGCCTGGCAGCCAAAAACGTGCCATAACCCTCTGGTGGAGGCAAGCAGCTGGTAAGCACAAGAGGCTTGCCCTCAGATCACCACTGTCTTCTCACGAGGACAGGGTGACCACCCTCAGAGGACTGAAGGTCACTTAGACAGGGAAAGGCTGTCCTCAGTTAGCTTCTAGAGGGGGATCATGTGTCAGAGATGATACAAAGCTGGTGGGCTCTGAATTCCAGGCAGCAAAAATAAATCTCTCCCTCTTCAAGAGACTAGCTGGGGAGATTTCCTTCTACTGGGAGCTCGTGGCAGACTCTCCCACCCCATGGGCATTATCAGAGAGGAATCGGTGCAAGGTCAATCCCTGGAATCAAAGCCAGGAGGGGATTTTCTGAGGGAGACTGGGTTAGAAGTAGTTATATTTTTGACTTGCTCCTGAAACAGCTTAGGAAAAACCACCTGTTAAGGTGAAACTGGTTACTGTAAGTTAGGTAATGCTTTACTAATACCAGGAAAGGGGATATGGTCCAGCACCCGGGAGAATACCCCCAAGAACATATTCTCAGAGCCTGGATCTCTTCTCTGTTACTGTGGAAGTGGAAACACATCCAATAGGCTGCTGGAGACTGCATCTAAGTGCCATGACACACCAAAAAATGTGCTAGAAAGGAATGAAGAATGTTAGAGGAAAGCTACAGAATACACAGAATTTGATTTTGCCTATTTACTGAGAAAACCTTACAAGGACAGTGAGTTAAACAAAGCAGCATCTTATCCTTGGATGCTAAGGTTTTGCATGCATGACACGAACTGACAAGACATCTTTTTGCAAGGTACAGCTCAAGATCTGCTCCAGATTTAGAACTGGAGTAGAGAGCGATACTGCAGACAAGGGTTGAGGTCTCTGCTATTAGTCACAACAGAGACAAGCTGGCAAAAATGAGAGCTGGAATTCTCAGCTCTGAGGTATGCAGAAATATGTGGAAAGTAGGCAGGGCAGAATTACCAGGAAAGAGAGCAGGAGTTTTTAGAGAGAAACCTGTTTTCAAAGTGTAGAAAACGTGGTTTCCTTCTGCTGTATTTCCTGGCAGCCTGCTAACACTCTATAATTTATTTTTTTTTTTGAGTTCTTATGTTTTAAGACTATAACTTTGTAAAAATTGTGAACAGTGATTTGGAGAGACAAACACAGGTATTTAAAATCTAGATGCATACATGCTGTTTTACTCCGCCTCCTCCAACACTGAGGATGCCTCCACTTAAGATCTTCCCATTCTGTTTAAAAATTCCAGAGATGATGGGACAACAAAGAGGCTTTCCTCCCTTCCAGTGCTTTTCTTAGAGCCCTGGCTGAATTCAAGACATGAGATATAGACCAAATATTTTCTTCCCATCTGTTTTTAGGGCTCGGCTCAGCTAAAAGAGAGAGGAGGAGCTCCTAACTGCACCCCCATCCAGCAAAATCCCAGAGTAAAAATCGAGAAAGAGGAAAAATGTTCTACATGGGAATGTTTGGGGGGGATGTAAGATAAGAGCCAGTGAAAAGGAGCTGCAGCAACATGGACAGGATTGCAGTCAGAAGCAGCAATATGCTTCTAGGCTGGAGATCTGGCTGTGTTTACACTGGTGCGTGTAGACCAGGTGGGACTGGAAGGATGACACCAACGGAGAACGAGAAGAGCTGCTCCTCCTCCACTTTCCACGTGGCAGATTGACCCTTAGCATCCTGACTGTGTCCAGCAGTATTCATGTCCTGTTAGAATCCCTTCTGCTGTGTCAGGTAGACGTGGCAGAAGTCTGAGTGTGATAAGCCTGCCCTCAGCCACCTTGCAGACCACATCTGCCTCCTGCACGCACCCGTACAGTCCAACAGCCCAACAGTCTTTGCACAGAAAGACAGCAGCAGAAGAAAGGGTCAGTCTGATGCCCCTTCTCCCAGCTGGATCAATCCTCTGTGGCGATTGCAAAGAACATCCAAAAGCTTCTCTTTGAGGAGCAAACACAAGAAGACTGGCTCAACTGAAGAGTGTGATGGACTACTCCCCTTACACCAGCTATAAGGGGACATCCTCATCTTCATCCTCATCCAGGTCAGTGGCGTGTAGGCTTATGTCCCTGAGGATATCTGAGATGTTTTCAGCAACTGGCCCTGTCAGCTCCATCTCTTCCAACTCAGTATCAGTGGCATAAGTGGAGCACAGGGCTTCCCCCTCTTCGTGCAAGGGTGAGGGCTGGGGGGAGTGCAAGCAGGGAGGCACTGGGCTCTCTGTGCCCAAGTCTGCTGCTTGCTCTGCTGCCACCATACAGTTGGCCTGGCGGCTCCACACCTGAGTGGCCTCACTGACCTTCTCACTGCTGATGGAAGTCCGGTTGGTATCGCGGAAGCTGGCAAGGGGTGGGCGGAGGCGGACTCCAGAGCGTGTGGAGCCCTCTATTGCCTTCTGGAGCTAGGAGAAGAGAAAAAGGTCAGAAAAAATGGGTGAAAGGGAGGCTGAGCCAGCCCTAGAAGTTCATCTCGTCTCCAGGGTAAAGGGATCATAAATAGAGTCACAGCTCTACCCCTGGGGCCTGTGGAGATCATCTTTTATACTGGTGGTGGTGTGATTTTTCATTCCACGGTTAAATAACAAATTCTGCACCACTTTCAGAGACAGTAATAGCCACTCAGTTAAGAGCCCTATGGTCATGAGCAGAATGAACCATCTAACATCCCTGTAAACAACACCTGCTGCCTCCTCTGAAATACAGTCATCCACTCCTCTACGTGGCTTCCAAAGAGTTGACTCAGAATTCAACGCTGCATTGAAAATGTGGCAATCACAGTTATGGATATTCCCAGCTGGATCCTCCAGCACCTGTAAGTTATTGCAGTGATCCACAGGACGTTTGCAGATGATTAGGAGGAGGTGAAATGATCTGTACTTACCTCTTCCAAAGCCAGCACTCCCCTCAGCTTCCCCATGCTGGTTACGTAGGCATGGCTGAGGCCCAGTAATGAGAACAACGTGTGTGTCTAGGAGCAAAAACACAAAAAAAGCATTTGAGGGTCTTTGGAAACTTTGGATACTTGGTGCTAGAGCTGGGACTCGGGATTTAGAAACGGGAATCACGGAAGTGCACAAGTCTGCAGTTATCCCAGTGAGAAACTACCTCTTCCCTTTCCCTTTCGTAGCTAGAAAACACTGCCCTTTGGTCCTTCTGCTGTGGAGCCACAGTTGGAAGCGTGTTGATGATGGAGAGCATATTCTCAAGGTCATTCCCATCCTGCATCTGGCAAAGAGAGATTCATGTGCAACACCCTGTGTATTTGGGGACTTACGCAGATCCCATTTCGGTGCTGGAATTGAACTGTCATATAGTAATATGCAAAGTCAGAACCTGCTTAGGTTATTTATTCCAGTGCTTTCCTTAACAGAAAACTGTCTTTTTTCCTGTGCCAGAATATTTCCTATCAAAACTTAAGCTCGTTGCTGCTTATGCAGTGCAGTGGGAACACTGAGAACAGGTTATTCCCTTTCTCTTACAAAGCCTTCTCAAAAGGACAGCTATCACACTGCTGTAAGTCTTCTTCAGCCTAAATAAACTCCATTATTTTACTGTTCTTCATAGATGAGGCTTTCTAAAACTTTCAGCATTCTCAGTGCTCATCTGTGGCGTCTTTCCAACCTCCAAGTTCTTCAAGATGAGCTCTAGCTGGACTTTACCTTACAGGAATTCATTCTTTCACAGATGGTGTTTGCCTTTTTTTTAACATCAAGAGATGTTAAACGAGATACTGAATGTCATGTTCAAATGTAAACTAGGGGAAATCTCGTTTCTCAGGAACGAGACATTTCACCCTAATGTGAAAGAAAATCAGACGAGTTAAATACAATTTCATAGAATCATAGAATCATGGAATGGTTTGGGTTGGAAGGGACCTCAAAGATCATCCAGTTCCAACCCCCTGCCATGGGCAGGGACACCCTCCACTACACCAGGTTGCCCAAAGCCTCATCCAACCTGGCCTGGAACACTTCCAGGGATGGGGCAGCCACAACTTCTCTGGGCAACCTGTTCCACTGCCTCACCACTCTCAGAGTGAAAAATTTCTTTCTTATATCTAACCTAAATCTCCCCTCTTTCAGTTTAAAGCCATTGCCCCTTGTCCTGTCACTACACACCCTTATAAAAAGTCCCTCTCCAGCTTTCCTGTAGGCCCCCCTTAGGTACTGGAAAACTGGTATAAGATCACCCCAGAGCCTTCTCTTCTCCAGGCTGAACAGCCCCAACTCTGAAGGTTATAGGAACAAACTGACTTCCGTAGCTGGATGTGGAAGTAGCTGGTGATAGCAGTTTTAAGTGAAGACAAGGAGAAGAAATAAGTCATAGATTAGACCTGCAATGATAGATAGTGGGGAGAAAAACAGGGTATGCCTCAGAGATACATCTGCACCCACCTTGTGTAGGGATTCACCAGTTGGAAAGGGGAAGGGTCTATGCGGCAGCTGTCAAAGCAGACGTCCTTGTTCAGCTCCTCCTGTTCCCAAGCATCTATCTGACACAGGAAAGTAGAGGAATCACTCTTAGAGTAATCAGCAGCCTTGCTGTCTTGTGTACTCAAAACTAGTCCCATTCTCCTGTTAATGCTTCTTCCTTCCTACGTAGATCATTCATCTTGCCCATCATATCACACCCCTCAGGCTTCCCAACCCTTCCTTGCCAGATGTCAAGTCCCTTTGGAAACAGAGCAATTCCAGTACCTCAGAGGTTTTCTGAGAAGGTGAGGTTTTGCTCCTTCGTGCTTAAAGAGGGAGTGAACATCTTAGCTTTCCTTTCTGAGTGCACCTTCCCCTTGTCATTGCAAGATAATGGTTCCTTTGTGTAAAAAAAATGAAGGGGCAACATAGACCCACAGAAACATTTAGGTGAAGGGGGACCTGTGGAGGTCTCTAGTCCAAAACCCTGCTCACAGCAGGGCTGACTTCAAAGCTAGATCAGGTTAGTCAGAGCCTTATTCAGCACATCTAGCAGAACAGTCTCTTGTCTTATTGGGTGAGACTTGCCCACTGTGCAATTCTAAGAAGAAAATGGCTTTAGCTATGGCTTTATGTGGCAGTCACTGAGATAGTCGGAGTTCAGGAAGTATTACAAGTGGTAGGAAACGGGCAAAAGAAGCACTCAGCCTCACTCCCTTTCTGCACCCAGTCTTACCTCTTCTGGCCTCATTGTGTCAACTTCCACCGGCTCCTGTAGAAGGAAACACTGTTCAGGACGGACAAAGAACCCACAATTTCACAGAGTACGGAAAAGAAAAATTTGCACAGCCTCCTCACCCCATGTGGCCCCCTTTTTGTTCCAAATAGTATGTTCCTGAGTGTTTAGATTTACTTTATACTCGTACAGCATAAGATGTATGCTGTACTTGCTGTGCTTCCCTCGCTGATAAAGATTGACTGTGGAATGCTTGTGGAGCAATTCAGGTGCCTAAACATGGTCATCTAGTACTACTTTAGCTGCTTTCAGGTATCTCACATGGAGTCCAACCACTGCCTTAGAGTGGATGGTCTCCCATAGGCTCTATATGATATCCACCAGCCCTGTGCAGATATGTCAGATACTCAAGGGCATCTAACATGGCATAAGGAAAAAGTGTTATTTCATTTTTATCTGGCCAAAACTGTTTGCCAAATCGAATAGAACTGCACTTTATTCCAGGTTAGCCAAAATAGCATGAAGTTATTCACTGAGAAAAAGATGCCCACACTCAGTCATGATGGTAGCCTTGACACCTGAGCACAGATTGCTCTTTAGGAAGATGCACACTCCTTTACAGTAATCACACCCTTTCTTCTTGGAGAGAGTTCCCCACTGGTGCTGTCACAGAGTTCAGGACCATAAGTGTGTCCATGCTTAGGCTAAATGCTGAATGGCTCTGAGTAGTAGGTTCTATTTCCATTGCATTCCTTTCCCTCCCTCTTCTCTCTGTATCCCTAACCTGGACGGTGCTCTCCGTTTCAAGTGGACGGTTGTAATGGCACAAGAGCTGCTGGATCAGTTGCCTCAAACTCCTGAAAGTGCCTGAAGGATGAAACCAAACACATAGATAAGAAAGAAGAACAAGTGAGAGACAAAAACACAAAGCCCCATGCCCATCTGCTTTCCCGAGGCAGGCTGGAAAATGAGGGACATAGTAGCTGGGATATGACAGGGCTGAGCCAGTCACAATCTAGCATTCAATTTGTACAATGGGGTGTGGGACATGGCAGAATAAATATTCCCATGCAATATCTTTTCCTCAAGGAGAGAAACAAACCATTTCAAAGTAGTCCTTGCAGATAATATTCGTAGATCAGTGTCCCTGAAGAAAAAAAACTACTAACACAGCAAAAAATTCCAAAGCAAGGGATAAACTGCTGTTGCGAGAAGTTTCTGCAGTCCACAAAGGGAATGTGGTTTGGGAGATGAGTATGGAAAGGGGAGATGAGGATTTGGAAATTGCTTCAAAGACAAAACATATTACAGCTTGAACGTGGCAGGTACAAAGGGGTGAGGAGTCCATGGGTTGTGCCAGCAGTATAATGACGGGAACGATAAAGACTTCAGAATTATTCTCCCAGGCAGGACAGTCAGGAATTAGCAACGAGGAGGAGATGGAGTTTGGTGCTGTTGTGAATTGAACGAGGCTGCGGAGGAAGGTTGGTCAGAAACAATGACAGCTGTAAGCCAAACTAAAAATTATGGCAGGGAAAGCCTCATGAAGTCACCCCTGCTCCCCTTGTCACTCCTGGGTCATTCAGTACTGGCTTCATGTAAAATGTCTCACACACCATCCTTGTTTTGATGTGATTCTTTTCCTGCTTTATTAAGGAAGGTGGATGGCTATCCCACCACTCTACTGCCCTGGAAGCATAAAGTGGATTTTCCTATGCCTTGGAGGTTTAGTCATACATGAGTGGTGTTAAGAAGGTGCCATATGCTCTATTACATGCTAAGGGGGAGGTGTCTAAAAGCACGAGCCAGAGCCCTGTCCTCTGTAGTCATTCTCAAGATTGGGCTACACCTCTGCGTACTCATGCTCTGCATGTTTCAAGTCACATGGAAGAAAAAAAAAAACGCACCGTCCTGCATCAAATATACATGATATACGAATCCAAAATGAGCTATGAGTACAGTCTTGGAAGCAAAGCTAATCTAGGATGGGGTGGCACATAAAACCCGCAATGCATCAGTATTTGTCCATCATATTGATGTAGCTGAATCAAAAAGATGCATGTCCAAGGGAGAAGCTGTTCAGTTTCGGAGATGGCTGAGCAACAACAGCCTAAGCTACTCAAAAACCAAGTACAGATGTTGTAGCTCTCAGGCTGCTTTTCCCAGGGAAATTAATTCACGAGGTGAAGGGGGTAAGAGATGGGACCCTTCCACGCAGACTCTCCAGAAAACGTCCGAGGAGATGTTATTGCAAAGGCTGAGTGGGGAGTACTGACAGAGAGAGCGCAGCTTGAGTGGACCTACTTTTGCCATGCTGTCCGAGTGATCAGAAACAGAAGATACTTCCAGGTATGTCACACTGCTGTTGAGGTGCTTTAACAAAGTACCTTTAACACAGCAACAGCGGCCAAAGCTCCTTCTCCCAGTCTCTGGGAAATCAGCACCTCGCACACGTGCACGCACACCGCTCGCGTGCAAGCTTCCACAGGCTGGCTAGGATGTGGCTGAGATGCCAGAAGTTACCATACCTGGCAGTTGCTGTGCCTCCAGACTTTCAGGCATTTGTTTCAGAGGGCTTGTTGGGCCGTTGGGCTCCTCTAGGTAACTGGGAGTGGGACTCGGGGGCCAAGGCAGCTGTTACAGAAAGGAGAGAAAATGAAGTCCACCTTGCGTCGTTTCTTTCTCAGCCCCTCCAAACGCCTTACTGCTGCTTAAGTCCCTCACTGCAGTCCCTCCACTGCTTTCCCTCACCTCTCCCTTCTCATCTGTGTCCTCATCCTCATCAACGTAAGGAAAAGATTCATGCTTCAGCTTTGGCAGGGTTGCCCACGGTCCCTTGCTGTGCCCATCGTAGGGTGCTTCAGACAGCTTCTGCTGCTTTTCTCTGTTGAGGAGCCGTCTCCGCTCTGGGCTGATGTGTCTCTGGAGGAGAGCCTGCAGTTCAGATCGCTCTACGGACCCCAGGAGGATCATGGTCTCTGCATAACACAAAGCAGAGGAGCCATGAAGCGCCTTCAAGTTTTTGAACGTCCCCTGCCACACACTGCCCTTCCCTCCCTCCAACATCTCCTCTTTGGCTCTTCAAGCTGAGACAGTCTCCAGGAAGGATCCGTTAATCCCCATTCCTTACCTGGTGAGTCCACCAAAGGCAAAGTCTTAACAGTGGTGCTTTGCAGTAGGGTTTGCAAGTCTCGGTATTTACAGTTGGAGGAAACGAATTTCACATCTTGGACCATAATATCCTCAACAAAGATATTGTATTTGCTGTGAATTTGGGGACAATAAGGGGAAGAGTTAGCATATTAAAAACATCTAGCTGATCAATTCCTTAAAGAAATACATAAATGCCCTCTTCTTTAAAAAGTGTTCTCAATACAGTTGCTAAATAATCTGCTGTGAGAGTAACCAAAGAGGACTTCCCAACAGGATCAACACAGATGAACTGGATTTCCTTTACAGTTGTTTTCCACTCCATAAAATACACACATATACACACACACGTTGGATTTCCTTTACAGTTGTTTTCCACTCCATTACCCCTCACCATAAAATACACACATATACACACACACGCATGTATAGGTGTTTTATATATACATACCCACGTATATTATATATACTAGAGAGAGGATGACATGTATATGAATAGCTGAGTTTTGTTTCAAGCAAAATATCCAAATAAAATGATATTTCAAACATGTGCTGGAGGAAAAAAAAAAAAAATCCAAACCTCACTGAATTAAGGAAAAAATGGAAATGAGACATTTGATTTTTAAATTTTTCAACTGAAGCGATTTGGTGATATTAGTAGAAATTGAGTAGCGTTGCAGATTATTCAAACCTACGCTTTCAGTGAAAAAAAGAAGAGGACTTCTCTCCATTTCTGTTTACAAACCCTAATTCTACTCTGCCACTTGTTTCTTCTCACTGCAGACCTATCGTGCCTTTTTATTTTCCTTGTAGTACTGTCCCCTTTTCATGACCTTTTATTCTCCCATGGTCTCATCCTCTTCTGCTTTATTTCTTTGCCCACTTCCCACCTCCACCTCTGTTTCCCTACTCTACCTTATGTGATTCCAGCCCAGGTCTGGCAGGTAGGGCAACTTCTTCACCTGGATGATGCTGTCATAGAGGCTGGGCTGCAGACTCTGGGCCACCATGTTGGCGAGAATGACAGCCACCATCATGGGGAGAATGTGAGAGATCTGACCCGTCAGCTCGAAGCAGATCACAGCAGTGGAGACAGTGTGGCTCACCGCTCCTGTCAGAGCTGCTGCACCTTCCCCAGGTAGGGTGGAAAAGGAATAGGGAGAGAAGACGACTGTCACGGAGAAACGGCACGTCATGCCAACCAGGAAAGTCATGGGGATGGGACTAGGGGAAGAAAAAGAAAGATGGAGACTCACCAATGACAGCGTATCCTCCAGGTAAGATTTGATAAAGAATACCATCAAAGAGGATCCCGTTGGGAAAAAGCGATGCCATGATTTCTCCAATCAGACGCCCAAACGCAGCACCTGGAGAATATCACTGACAATTATGGAATTAACCTCTAAGGAACACCCAGTGTGTGCTGTGCAGCTGTGTTGTGCAACCACCTGAGTATTTTCTAACAAAAACAAGATCAAAACTTACATTAAAGTGACACTGAGGACTAGAGAGTAGTTCTCAGTTACAAAATACAGAAGTTAGACTCCAGGAGGAGAAAAAAGTACTAAGATATGTAAATACAGTTGACCCCTCATTCTTCTACTTGGGCACCGCAGGCACAGTGGTATTTGTGATTCCCAGGTAGGAGGAAATATTTTCAGAATATGTACAATGTCAGTCCAGACCACAGTTGGAGCCCTTCACACGCTCATTCTATGAATGTCCAAACACTAGAATCACAGCTTACAGAAAAGTTTAGATGGGAAGGGACTTTTGGAGGTCTTGTTCTGACCACTGCTCACAACAGGGTTAATTTCAAAGTGAGATCAAGTCATCCAGGGCCTTGTCCAGACAAGCTTTGAAAGTCTACAAAGATGGAGATTCTCCAGCCTTTCTAAGCACCTTAACCAAGGAAGCAATTTTTTTTCTTATAGAATCACAGAATGGTTTGGGTTGGAAGGGACCTCAAAGATCATCTAGTTCCCACCCACCTGCCATGGGCAGGGACACCCTCCACTACACCAGGTTGCCCAAAGCCTCATCCAGCCTGGCCTTGAACACCTCCAGGGATGAGGCATCTACAACTTCTTATGTCCCATCAGAATTTGTCCTGTTACAACTTGTGCCTTTACCTCCTCCTTACTACGTGTCTGTAAAAGGAGTCTTTCTATCCTCTCTGTCCCGTGCTGCATGAGGTGATGAAGGCCACTGTTAGAAGCCCTCTTGGCCTTCTCTTATGCAGGCTGAACAAGCCCAGCTTCTTCAGCTTCAGGCTCTCCTTGCTTTGTGCTCCAGCTCCCCAACAACCTCAGTGGCCTCCACTGGACTCATTGCACTTCATCAAAATCTCTTGTATTGGTGGACATGAAATGGCACAATGTTCCAGAATTGTGGCCAAAATGCTGAATGCAGGGAAATAACCTTTTTTTTTTTTTTGCCTTGCTGGCTTTTCCTACTACAGGCGTGTTTGTCGTTAGCCTTCAACTCTGCAAGGGCATTCTGCTGACTCGTCCAGTTGCTGCCTGCCAGAACCCAGAGGTCCTCAGCACACACCATTTCATTTAAGAGCTGTGGGTGCTTAATGCTGAGCTTCATAAACTTGTGTACTTTAGTCTAACGCAGCATCTCTGTCTTAACATTAGCATCCTATTCTTTGTATTTTTGATCTTGGAATTCAAACCAGTTAAAAACCAGTGAACTCCCGCATGTTACCCTATTTCAGGCAGAGGAAATGAATAAGTGGTGGATTACATTGCAGGTACTAGTTTTGAGGTTCTCTTCTAGTTGGCCTTCAGGAGCGAAAGGAGCAACTACTACTAATTGTAGGATGGAAGTTTCTCTGTTGGTGAAAAGGCAGAGAAATTAGAAGTCCATGGCTCAGCGTGCTGCCCCACAGTGTGGCTTTCCTTACGTAAAAGCACAGGGATTTCCTCCTCAGCATTTGGATTTGGGGGGTGGGAAAATGACAAAAGCAGAGACTCAGAGGCCACTATATGGACTGTTAACCAAGCTTGTCATAGTCATCAAGTGATGACTCCTCATCCACTAGAAGAAACCTACTGGGTGCGTATGCAATGTCTCTCTCATCCTCTCCACTTGTCAGATTACGTGCTGCGACACAAAATGGAAACTCACCTAGAACAAAAACAGGCATGAAGCCTCCACAGGGGATTGGCATCGTGGTAGCAATGACGGACATCCAGAACTAGAACAGAAGCAGAGGATGCAGTTTTTATGGAGCAGCCAATAGCCCACTCTATTGCCCAGCCTGTGAATCCATGAGGAGACACTTCTGAGGGATCTGGCAGCTCAGCCAGAAAGTGAAGGGTAAAAGGGCTGTGGAGTGTGAAGGGGAGCTGGAGGAACTCTGGCAACACACCAACACTGACACAGAGGACCTGTGGGCAACTGCTGTGATTGCAGGGAAGCTGAATCACCAAGGGGATGGATGAACACGAGAACTCTTTTGCCTTGGACCTCAGAAGCTGAGATTTCCTACTGCTCCAAACAAAGTAGCTTTCATTAGAACAAGGTTGTCAAAATTTCACAAACTCAGAAAGGTTTCAGTGCAAAGGGAACTCCAGAGGTCTCTCCCCCAACTCCCTGCTCCCAGAAGGAGCTAATTCCTAAGTCAGATTGGTTTGCTCAGGGCCTTATCCAGGAGCGTTCTGAACATCTTGAAGGGTGGAGATTTCCCAGCTTTTCTGGGCATTTGTGCCACTGCTGACCTACCCTCAGGGACAAACTGTCATAAGTTTCCTTTATTTTAGCTTGTGTCTGTTGTCTCTACGTTGGGCAAAATGATAAAATCCATCCTGGTACTGCTAAGACCAGTTCAAATGCTGACTTTGCCCAGTGTATGTAGACTTCTTCTGGAGGCAACAGCCTAATCTTACAAATACCTCAAACACTCAGACTTTCTCAGGCAACACGACAGGAGATTTCCACAGTTGAAGGCAACATGGAGAATGCTGCTGCTTCAAAAGCTTGTACAAAGTAGTGTACTGGCAAGATGTCCCTTGCTGCAGCAGTGTCATCCACAGGAGAGAGACAACTATGGTCCAGCACATCAAGAGCAATACCTTCAGGTATTTCAGGACCATATTCTCCTCAGAGTGGGCAAATCCTTCCTGTTGAAGGTCCACCTTTGAGGAGGTGATGCCTCTGCAGACATTGTAGCTGTAGATGGATAAGATACTAATCTGTAGACAGTTTGGTGAGAGGAAATCCATCCAAGACAGCTTTTCTGCTGTAACTCTCATAGGATGGTTGGCATAGAAGGGAAAATGAAGTCAAGATACAGTCTGCCATTTAGGAAAGCCCTCTACAAAGGCAACAAAGAGCCAGCAGAACAACATTTCTCAGCCCACAGAAGAGGAACACGCTGTGAGGATGGGTTGGACCATCAGTTTGATACTGGCTGTTGCTCTTCAGCCATTTGAATGGCTCTTCAAAGCCATTTGAACGTTCCAGAGAAGTTCCTGGCTGGCTACAGAGGCCAGCAAGCTGCAGAAGTTGAGTAGTGCTAACTGAGCTCTGTCTTTGCAGTACCAAGCCCAGGCCAAATGTGAGCTGAGATTGGAGTGCAGTGGGGAATCAGGCTGAGTCTTTGCCCAGAGTCGAAACAGCAGTTGCTTTTTTAGGTGGTCTATCCCAACTCTGAATATATCCAGAAAAAAATAAACTGCTTGGAGCAGTTATCTAGTGAGCTGAGAAAGCCTTTAGTCAATGGAACGAGGCCAGTGAATCCAGTGTCTGAGGATACAGCTCTTTCAAAGGAAAACAAATGGACTCAGGACAAATAGACTATGTAGTCCATCTAAAAAAAAACCCTCTTTTATTCAAGTAAATGAGACCTTATCTGTCAGCACACTATAATCAGAATTATCACAGAAGCAGAACCCTTCGCTGCCTGTCAGAAATTCAATACAGCGTTTTAATTTAGGTGGAATCAGCTGTGTCAATCCATCATTGATGTCCATTCCTGATCGAGCGAAATGTTCGACTGATATTGCAAGGTGGCCTCAGCTCTTTTGCAACCGAGAAAAATCACCGTTTCTATGATATTTTTACTCTTTTATCTACCTCCCTCCCCGCCCTGTTCTTAGGAAAACCTCTTTCGTGCTACTTGTATTTTGAACATTGGAATAGAATGTTTTCTTCTTTCAAATCTCATCTCTTGCTCTGTCACGTATCAGTTACACAGCTGATCCTTGCAGAGGCTGAACAGTTGCAACTTCCACGGGCCACATCAGCTCAGAACATTTAATCTGCTGTTGCTTTCCGAGGAGTGAGCAAAACTTTTTGGCTGCATTTCTCCATCAGGTGTCAATACTGCTAACAAATCCTTGAGGCTCACACAACTATAGATTGTTCTTGCATATTCTTACTTGTCACCTCTCTGTAGTCAGGAATATCAAGTAGACTCTATCAGACTCTATTTAGACCAAATATAAATGGTCTGAGAGTTTTTTACTCAATTATTTATTTTTATGGAACTTGAGAAGTTTTTCCTGATGTGGTCCTCCCTACCAACTACTACACACTGGGTACCAAAGGTTAGGAAGGATGCATGAGGAAGATGACCTAGGGAGCAGTGAAGGAGGTCACTATATTAAGGCCAGGAAACTGTTCCCAAATAATTTTGTTAATCTTGCATTCAAGGTTGGCAAAAATCATATCAAAAGATGTAAGAACCCATTGCAGTTGCAGTGCTTCACTCAGTACCCAACAACTCCTCATTGGCAGTTGACAAACTATTTTACAAAGGATCAAGAACATTCACTCCGAGTGGAGAAGGGTGATGGTGAGCTGGGTTTCCTACCTTCATGAGGAAGAAGAGCAGGATGATGATGAAGACACTGACTTTGGGATGGATCCAGGCAGCAGATTTCCCTAGGATCTGAGGGTCCCCTGTGTATTTTGCCCAGGTATAGTTATCAAAGAGAGAGCTGATGGCTTCCCGTGGCATCAACTAAACAGCAAAAAAAACCAGTCATGAGCCATGAGATTAGATGGAGTAAATATTCTGCCTCTGTTCCAAGGAAATGGAGGAGATTTTTACTTTGCTAAGTCATGATTATGAGACTTAATTCACATTTTAAATCTTAATTCTTTAACTCTTTAATCCTGATTTTAAATCAGGAAGAGAGATGGGACTTTACCTGAACTGGTGAAAGGATAACTACTTTTACACACAGTGTAACATCTTCCTTATTACTTGCTTAGGAGAGTGGACCCTTTTCAGGTTTTACATGAAGGAGACCATAGAATAGCAGAGAAGGAAATCATAGGAGATAGCAGAGATCATGAGCCTCAGAACACAGACTCTCCTCCCATATCTTTCTTCCCCTTTCCATGACATAAGGTTATCGGGGCACAGGGTAGGGGGAGACTGTTCCACAGAATTGCACAGACTTGTAAATACACATCCCACTCTCACCTCTCCTGCCATGAACTGCCCAAATCCAGGAGGAAAGGTCACAGTTGCTATAAGGAAGGTTATAACCCCAGGGTATACGAGGCGGCTGAAAAGAAAGAAAAGTTTATTAAAATATAACCTCACATTCTTTTCTTGTAGCACTATCACTTCAGGACGGTGAATGCGATTTCTGTGAAGGCTCTCTGCCACATCTACATCCACAGCTTTGAAGTTCTGTTACTGGCAATTTAATGCCCTGCTCCACTGATCATCGTAGTTCAGAGGGAGTTCAACTGTCAACAAAACCATTTTTCCCATCAGAATTAATGTAATGGGAGGGATGGAGGGAGAGAGGGATGTACGAAACGCACGAACTCGAGTATGCGAGATGGGGATGGGTATTTACAATGATGTGTTGACCTGTTGTCAAAAGCCAGCGCCTCCTCCATTCGTCCTGATTATGCCAGTCTTGCTTCTTCATCCTCCATGCAATGTATCCTGTCCTAGTGTATTTAAATGTAGGGTTTTTTTATACATTTCTGCATGCATCCCCCCATTGCATTAATTGGTAAGAGAAAAACTGCTTTTCTTTCCGTGGGATTGGACCGTTACAAGTTTTGGGAAGGTGTTTGGTGGCCAGTGGGGCATGGCTGGACAGCAGGCTGAAGCCAGCTGCGTTTTCCTACTGCTGTGTCCAATCCCAGGATGGGTTTCTGGGTACACTGAGACTCTTCATGGGCACTAAGACAACATGAATCTAAGCTGCCTCCACATGCTGGACTGATACTGTCAGGTCTCCCTCGCAAATTACCGTGTTCCCTACAGGAAGTTCTGGCTGAAATGCTGTGGTATTCAGGAAGACAAACTATAACCTCTAATTTCTTTCAGTCTAAGGACCTATAAAATTCTGAGAAATGAGTCAAAAGTTTAAAGTAAATTCCTACTTTTCAGGCTTTGCTTCACTTCTCTCTTAACTTTGATGGCTCTGCTGGTGCTTATGGGTAATGCTGCATAATGGAGAAAGACAATTTTGCTTCCACATAATAAGTTCAGTTAGTTTGAACTTCTTTTTAACTAGTGGTTTTCTTCTGCTCAGATCTGCAACTTGCTGAGAAATCTAGGTCCTCCACACCTCAACTTAAAAAATTCTCATAGCATCAGACTTCTTCTGTAAAGAGACTCAAGTAATTTACAGTTAGACACCTTTTCTTCAAGTTATAACTTTGGAGGTTATAACTTTATTAGAGAGGGGGAAAAAGTATCCTCAAGAGTCTAGTAAAACCTTTAATGCTAAGATTTTTATTTTGTTTTGTGTTTCTTTTCCATTCTGAATTTCACACCATTTGGTCATTACCAGTTTTAGCTTTTGTTTCGTAAGGATGCAGTAACTGCACTACTGCAGCACATTCTTTACATTTTGATTTAAAAAAAATGTGATTTTAAAGACATAGTTAGATTTCAATTGCATTTCATTTTCTTAAAAGATAAACGATGCTGAATTTATTTTTTACAGATTCTAAAAAAAAAACAAACAGAAGCAGCATGATCTTAAAAAGCATGATCATTGATTTTCTAATTAAAAACATTTTCTGTCCAACCAATAGTTTCACTTGTCTCTTTATGAATATTACAGAGTCTCCCTTCCAAATCAAGAAGCTATTTGAAACTATTGGAGCTGATCGAGAAGAAAATTGAGTGCAGAACAAATTCTCTTAATGTTTGCAGACATCTTTCATAAAATTTCAGTTTCTCCTATTTTTACTATCTTACACTTCAAATAGTGCTACTAGCTTCCAGAAAGCATTTGTTACTATCCAATACCAGCAGGGTATAAAAATCTAGTCCCTAAAGGGAGTTATCTTCAAAGGCACTCACTATTTGGTGAGAAACTGGCTCAGAGCCGTATGACGCCGGATGCACAGGACCACTTGGCGATTGAGATAAACGAAAAACGCTCCAAGGAATCCGGAACATATCCTAAAGTGGAGAAAAAGAAAGAAAATAACGCCAAAACCCAGATAATACACAAACTATCAACCAAGAATATGAGTTCAAGTGTTTTTCACCCTCAGCTGTTTATGAAGTCTTTTAAATGTCACCAAGAGACAACTCTGCTCTACTCCTACGGCAACTCACTTGAAGACCCTGACCCCCTGATGAAAGGGGAGTGATTATTTTGGACCTCTTTCCATTTTACCCCTTGAATTTTCTCTTGCTTAGAGGGAGAAATCTCATCTTTAAAAAAAATCTATAAAATAAACTATCAAAACAGTCTATAAAAAGGGATTGACAGATCTCAGTGGAGGTGGGTGAAGAGCAACTGGGTAAAGACCAGTACCATCAGACATCAGATTGGAACAGGAAACAGTAAAAATTAAGGGAGTTTAATTCAGCAAAATTATACACCTACAGCAAACATTAAAGGTAATGGCAACTATTCTGCATTTAGAATTGGCAAAGGGAAATATTATTTTATGTGGCAAACAATCAACCTCAGAATACTGAGGACAAACAGATGAGATTTTCATTCTATTCATTTTTTAAATTAATGGAATTTCCCTTTGTTACACGTTATGCAGGCTTTTGCCGAACGTCATGCAAAGATTTACGCACTTAAAAAGTTGTATGTTGAAAAAATCCTGCTTGATCATTTAAAAATTGCATAGAAACAAGTTTAAACTCAAGTCATTCACAGAGAAACATGTCCAATGAGCTTCTTTTAAATATTTTAAGCCAGCACTCTTCAGCACTACTGTTAAAACAGGCAATATAAGCCTAAGGGCTACACAGTGAACTGAATCTCTTTATAATACTTTATATTAAAAAAATAGATCCCTCTGTTCCTGCCTATCAGTTTTTCAATAACACAGAAGTGCTCCACCTGTGTATATTTTGCAAATTAACAACTTTTGCTGACACAGAAGAACAAGATCTACCTGTGACGGCGTTTGGGCTGGCTCAGTATTTTTGTCCTACCTGGAAGTGAAGAACTATGTTGGATAGAAAGAGAGGTCAACTTTGAGGCTTAATGTTAGGAGAATTTGGAGCATTCCAAGTTGGCATCAGAACTTTAACCAAGACTATTCAAGTCTTTAGCTTTTTTTTTTAAAAAAAATACCACGTTGGACACTCAGGAATTTGAAAGCATTTCACAGTTGTCATATACTCCTTTCCTAGCCTGTGATGTGCAGTACTGGAAAAAAAAAATCTCTGACAACTGTTCAAAACACAATGACAAGAAGTTTTGCATTCTATCAGCTTTAAATCATGAGGATTACCTGTTTCCTTGCCAATCTAAACAAATAGATGCCCTCAAGTTCAGCATGCAAGTCTATTTAAGGAGAAGAACAAAGCTCCTGCATGCCTCATGTCTTCAAAGTATCTCACTTGAGTTCATATTCAAGTACATGAAGGCAGCCTACTAAAAAGAGCTGGAAAACCTCCTCTTGGGTCCACATCTTGCAACAGAATATGTTCCCAATGTCAGCACAGGTGTTTGTTCCTGCAGTGAATCCACTTCACCACTGCTCAGCAGTGCTTTCCTTGGAGCCTCTCTCAAGCTCTAACCCAAGACTTTTCCCCACAGCAATTCCAGACTCAGTTTTTCTCTACTATTTCCCAGTTCTCTTAAGTTCCTTCTTTCATTTCCCAAAATTTCCTCCACAAATGAAACCAATTCAGATGTCTCCATAAATAAAATAAATCTGACACTCATCTTAATAAATTAACCATTGTTCTCACTGAATCCAACTACGGCTCAGTTACCCTTGCCACCACGTTGAGTGTACCAACCTCTCTTGAAATGGATAACCATTCTGACCTTGTAAAAGGGAAACCTCCTGGTTGCATTTTTTTGCCCCATTTTTGTCAAATTAAAAGGCCATACTTGTTGAGTCAGTTCATTTGGGGATACCATCCAAACAGTTAAGGGGCCATTCAGTAAATGTATATCCAGAACCTAGACCAAGTTAGACTTACTTTTTTTTTTTTCTCCCCAGAACTTAATTTCTGAAAAAGTTCTATGGAAAGGAAATAACAACCAGCTTAATAATACCCACATTTCCTTCCTTACTCATTGTGTTACACGGACACCATTTCTGAAGGAGGAATCCCAACAAGCAAAAGCCTTATTTGTGACAATCAAAACGTCTAAAAGAGAGGTTTGTAACTGTTTTGCAAAAGAACTCCTGACAGAGATGAACACGAAAACCTTTGTAGAGTAGGGGCTGGGTTCCCAGGAACTTACCCTATTACAGCAAACGCTGGCAGCTCTTGCAGATCAAAGGGGAAATCCATGCGAAAGTTCGTTCTGAACAGGGCTGTGATGGTAACTGTGAGAGAAGAAGGAGGTAGAAGAGGAAAGGGAATAACGAGGTGGGAAGTTAAGTGCCATGAAAGCTAGGGGTAGGGACAGGGGAACTGGTTTATACATGCTCCTGTGTAGTTTTGTGACATTATCGTAGAATCATAGAACGGTTAGGGCTGGAAGGGACCTTCAAAGGTCATCTAGTCCAACTCCCCTGCAAGAAACAGGGATATCTCCAACTAGATCAGGTTGCTCAGGGCCTCGTCCAACCTGGCCTTGAACGTCTCCAGGGATGGAGCATCCACCACCTCTCTGGGCAACCTGTTCCAGCGTTCTACAACTCTCATGGTAAAAAATTTTTTCCTAATATCCAACCTGAATCTGCCTCCCTCAATTTTAAAACCATTACCCCTTGTCCTATCACAACTGGCCCTCCTGAACAGCCTCTCCCCATCTTTCCTGTAGGCCCCCTTGAGGTACTGGAAGACCGCTAGAAGGTCACCCCGGAGCCTCCTCTTCTCCAGGCTGAACAGCCCCAACTCTTTCAGCCTGTCCTCATAGGAAAGGTGCTCCATATATAATTATTATATATAATATTATATACAATATTACAGATTGGCAGGCTGCTCTGATTTTAGTAGAACTTATTTTTAAGCACTCACAACCCTGGCACTCTAGAGAGTATAGGTTTGTTTTCAGAGAATGTATGCATTTTTTTTTTAGCTACAATCCCAGATTTGTAAAGGGTTTTCTTTTCTTTTTTTTTTCTTCTACCATCCATTCTCTAGAAAATAAAAACTCTTCCTACTATAATCACTGACTCCAAAAACTCTCTTTTTGAGTGAAGAAGAAGAAGCAGCAGCTGTATCACAGCTGTAACTGCCTTCTAGAAACAAAACTCAGATCCTCTCTGAAGTTCTCTCTGCAAAATTGTTGACTGGTACCAAAAGAATGAAAGTTGTAGAAATCTGGGATGGAAAAGATCAGCTAAGCCCCATCTTCTCCAGTTCACCTCTCCTGGTAACATTGCACTGCTAACATGACTCAGATGTTGAAACCTGTCCTGCTTTTACCTCGAGGTACCTAATTGTGTGGAAACAGTAAATACCAACAGGTGAAGTACAAATTAGCAATCTAGGTAATTAGCAGAATGAAAATGCAGCTGAATGAAGATGGATATAAATCCCAGCTTGCTCTGGATGAAGGAGTCATTTGCACAATGAGGAAGGAAAATAAGTAGTGAAAAATCTAGCTTTATATGATAATTACAGGAGGCATTAATTACTTGTTAATTGGTCAGACAGGACTAAGTTTAGAGCACTGATTTAATCAAATCTCTGTGGGTTGCATTACGTAAGACAGCTAAGCCTAACTGCTTGCTACTATTCCAAATGGGAAGATGTTACTCCCTGCTTCCTCACTCCATTCCTTCCCTCCTGGTTGCACTGTTCTCCCCTCCCATCAGGCCCACTCCAACACATCTCTTCATTGACACAGACACATTGGCAACACAGAACTTCACTGAGTTCTTTCACCTCGTTAAAACCTACCCGAAAACCCATCTCCTCTTTTCCTGCCTTAGTCCTCTGCCAGGGAAAAGAGTTGAATGGAGGGGGTCCCATGGACACAGAGATGGTACAAGAGAGGGGGAGGAGAACAGTCAGGGACAGAAGATGGTGAAAAGAAGGATGTCCTTTTTTTTGTTAGATCAGTCCAAGGAAAGGCTCATCTCAATTTAGTTTAGGAAGCAGACAGTCCAAGCCACTAAATGACAATGCATTAAAAAGTACAGCAGGGCTCACTCTCAAAGAGTTTTGCCACAGGTCATCACAGAGATGACCAGAGCAGAGGGAAACAGTCACAGCACTTAGTCTGAGTCTTTCTGGGTTCCCTCTCTACTCCCACAAGACAGAGATTTCTACAGAAAGATTCATCCCACCTATCTTAATCCTCTTTCCCGAGTGACTTAGGCATCCTGAAACTGAATGGCTTAGCCCTTTTCTCTCCGTTGGCTACAAACTCTACCACTTTAGAGCAGCTGTCCAACTCTTACAAGCTGAAAGTTGTAAGGAGTACAAAGAAATGAGAAGGTCTAGTTACTGGGAAAGTCTATTTAAAAAAAGCTTTGAGCTTTAAAGTAACACAGAGCCATGCGTGGAAGTGATGAGAAGGAGTAGGAGTAAGGTGAAGTGTAAAACACTATGGCAAATAAGATGAAGGCTCAGGACATGGTAAACCAGAAATCCTGCAAATTGCAGAACTCCAGTCTTCCGTGATTAGCAAACAGGGGCCAAAGTTGCAGCAGCCAACCAGAGTGGGCCAGATGTTATTTGGAAAGTACAGATAATGGTATGATGCCAGCCAGCAAAGCCATCAGTATCCAGAAGCCAGCAAGGATTTTGTGGGTCTAAGAAAGAAAAGAATTTTGGTGAGAGGCTACACAACTTATTTGCATCTGTCTGCTCTGATGTCATGGCTTCCCTACCTGCTACTTGGTAGCAATCATGCAGCTTAGAGGTACAAAAATGACAATAAAAAAGGTGTTCAACAAGCTTCAGACTTAGGCATTAAGGAATGAGAGGGATGAGTTATTTAAAAAAAATAATTCATCTTCTCTAATGAGCATCAGGGCTTCCAGGGGCTGAAGGAGGACCAATGTGTTTAAGAAGGTTGTGGAGCAACGTCGTGAAGTGCAAAGAGAGCTGTGCATTAGCACCTGGAAAACTGCTCAAATACATATAGATTTTAAAAGCAAGCACAACCCTGGAAATACCTGTTTTGAACCTCAAAGCCGAGGAAAAAACCCAGAAAGATAATTCAAATGAATAAAGCTTCGCGATGTGGAGTTTTTTTAACAAAACAGTGAAAACAGATTAAGGGGAATGGTATTTATTCAGATTATTAAGAGGTTGCACGTGAGGCTGGGGAGCCTCGTTAGAGGTCCACTGATCAAATAGCAAAAGGGAAAATGGTGTCATGGATCAGAGGCTAGACCAGAGAGAGAAAAAAAGTGAGTTCATGATGATACATGGCCATAGCATGCATGTAGCAGGAGTTGCTAGTCGTTGTCTTGGGGCCCTGTGGTGTTGAATGGATTTCTTCAGAAGTCCATATTGGAGCTGATTCTGTTTAACATCTGCATCAAGGTCCTAGATGATAGAATGCAACTCACTCATCAGTGACCATACTGAACTGGAGAGGGAGAAAAGAGGTGGTTTGTCACCTGGAGGGCTTCACTCAGACTGGCCTCCACAAACTGGAGGAGTTGACCAGTAGGAACATCATAAATTCAACAAAGACAAATATTTAGTCCTGCAGGTGGAATGGCAGGTGTGTCAGTGCAGCCTGGGGGCCTAGTGAACAGGAAAAGCTCTACTGTCATGCCAGTGGGTCCTGGTGCATCCGATGCTTAATGTGTGCTTTTGTGGACCATGAAAGCTAACCACACACCACGCCACATCAGCAAAAGCCCAACCAGGCTGTTGAGGGTGGTCATTATTTCCTTCTGTGTGGCACTGGTGAAGCCATATCTAGAAAACTCAGTACAAATGAAATGTTAAAAAACTGGAGAGAGTCGAGTGGTGAGCTCCAAGATGGTCCAAGGTGTGGGCACAGGGAGAGGCTGCAGAACTAGGTCTACTCAGCCTGGAAACAAGAAGGCCCAGAGGGGTTCTAACAGAAGTCTCCTCTACCTCATGGAGAAATTGTAAAGACACAGTTAAAGAAAAAGAGGCAATGGGCACAACTTCCAACACGGGAATTTTGTCTCCATATAACGAGCAAATGCCTCTCTTTGAAGAGGTGGTTCAGCACCGGAGCAAATGCCCAGAGAGGGAGTAGAAAGTTGCCAAAAGTAGAGAGCTCCGGGGGTCTCTTCCAAAGTAAATCTTCTTATGATTTCTTTATCTTCTTGTGAGACCCCACCTGGAATACTGTGTTCAGCTCTGGAATCCCCAGCACAAGAAGGACATGGAGCTGCTGGAGTGGTTCCAGAGGAGGCCACGAAGATGATCTGAGGGCTGGAGCACCTTTGCTATGAAGACAGGCTGAGAGAGTTGGGGCTGTTCAGCCTGGAGAAGAGAAGGCTCCAGGGTGATCTTATAGCAGCTTTCCAGTACTTAAAGGGGGCTACAGGAAAGCTGGGGAGGGGCTTTTTACAAGGGCGTGTAGTGATAGGACAAGGGGCAACGGATTTAAACTGAAAGAGGGCAGATTTCGATGGGATCTAAGGAAGAAATTCTTCCCTCAGAGGGTGGTGAGGCACTGGCACAGGTTGCCCAGAGAAGCTGTGGCTGCCCCATCCCTGGAAGTGTTCAAGGCCAGGTTGGATGAGGCTTTGGGCAACCTGGTGTAGTGGAGGGTTTCCCTGCCCATGGCAGGGGGGTTGGAACTAGATGATCTTTGAGGTCCCTTCCAACCCTAACTATTCTATGATTCTATGATTCAGAATTTTCTGTGGAAGACAGCAAAATCTGCACGTGATGCTGAATCAATTTACCTTGGTTAGAAGCAGAGATGACTGCCTAAGAAGGGCCATTTTCTGTGTCGATGAATGCAAAGTAATACAGCGAGGGAAGATTATTGATAATTTAGTTTAACAATAACATTTCAAGACAGAGAGTTGGATCAATGTAGACAGCTCTAAGAAAATGGTCCTTTTGCCTTTTTCCTAACTGCAGCTGCTGGAAATGTGCAAAAGTTGCACAAAAGTGATACCATAATGCACAGTATTGCATTGCAATATTGTAATGCTTTCCAATAGATCCATGCAATAGCCACATCTGCTTGGAACTCGGATCATTTTATCTCGAAAATATCCTGGAATAAGACGGCAAATGCTTGCCTAAGCAGAAAAGTTAGTTCACATATTATGTGTGAATTTGCAATAGTTTACACTTTCAGCATGAACAGTACAGGTAGATGCACATAGTGCACATTAAGGGAAGAAGCTCCTTCCACGTTCAAGCACATTAACCCACCTCATACAAAGGTTTTCTTACTGGGTGATAATAACAGCCATATAGGAAACCAGCACAGACATCTGCTTTACTTCTGGGACTAGACAAGACTTCAGAGATTGTGAAGACATCAGAGAGGGGGCCTACAAAAACCCTTGCACCATCAAAGACTAGGCTTGCACCTTTCAGAAGGAAATGAGCAAGAAAAGACATGAAAGGTAAGTTAGAGCAGGCACGATAAAAGGTCATAAAATAATGAATGACTTTGCTAGACAAAAGTTTCTTCTTCCTTAATACAAGGACAAGGAGACTGGCAACACAGACAAAGCAAATCCAAAACTATGAAGAGGAATTATATTTCATGGACAATTGGATCATGGGACCTTTTAACCCAGATAGTCAATGAAGTGGAATGTAAGGAGCCGTTAATGTGGGTATTAAAGCTGTCTGGGTGATTTTGAAGAAGGGTTTATGATTAAGCTAATTTCTAATGATTTGGGAGATCAGGAAGGGAGCTCGAGTAGATAAAGATCTCTGGGGTGATCTTATTGCAGCCTTCCAGTACTTAAAGGGGTCCTACAGGAAAGCTGGAGAGGGGCTTTTTACAAGGGTGTGTAGTGATAGGACACGGGGCAATGGATTTAAGCTGAAAGAGGGGAGATTTAGATTGGATCTAAAGAAGAAATTTTTCACTCAGAGGGTGGTGAGGCACTGGCACAGGTTGCCCAGAGAAGTTGTGGATGCCCCATCCCTGGAAGTGTTCAAGGCCAGGTTGGATGAGGCTGTGGGCAACCTGGTGTAGTGGAGGGTGTCCCTGCCCATGGCAGGGGGGTTGGAACTGGATGATCTTTGAGGTCCCTTCCAACCCAAACCATTCTGTGATTCTGTGATTCTAAAGTGAAGGATAGGAGATTATCCCTGTCATCTGTCTTTGAATTTCTTACATTTTCCTCTGGAAAGAACAGAAAGATGTGTTTTTTTTTGTGATAGATCTGATGGTTGAATACTCCTTAATATGAGGCAGTGTTTCACTTGCAAAGATGTAGCCACCTTCTACATTCCAGTAGAAAGTGTAGTCACTTCCTATATTCAAGAGAATATTCAAGCCAAACAATGTGTTAGCACAAAAAAAAATCCAACCCTGTGAAGTCAAGAAAGATGTAAGTTATAGCAGTTTTAAGTAAGGGATCTGCCCACATGGAGCTCAGGTTACAAAACAGATCAAACTGTAAGAATAAAAGATAAAGACATCATAAGCAAGAAGTTCACAAAGAAATGGCAGCTTCTGCACCAGCTGGAACTCCCTTCCCACAGGATCTGAAAGGCTCTCCTGAACAAGCTTATCCTGTGCTATTTCTGTCTGCACAAATGTTTCACTGATGCTTTTCAGTTACTTGAGACGGTTATTTTTTCAGGACCTTCAGTCAGACCCTACCAATCCTGTGGCCTCCTAATCATTTTTTCATCTTAATTTTCTAGATTGTCCAAGCAGGCCATGGCATTGCCAGCAGAACGAAGCAGCACACGCTGTAGTACGTCCTACACCCTCTGTGATGGGACACCTCTGTGTTTGCAGTCCTGACATTATGCTGAGTAGAGGGCAAAAATCCCACCTCAGGGACCCTCCTGCTTGCTGAAGACTCATGTTGAGTCATTTTTCAGTGATATCCCTAGGAACAGGGATAGGAGTTTATAGGAGTGATAGGAGTTTATAGGAGTGATGGAATGATAGGAGTTTATAGGATTGATGACATAAGATACTTCCCTTTCTCTTTCCTTCTGTACTGCTGGAAGTCACATGGCATGGCAGAAGTTTCAAGCATCATACAAGGTTGTGGTTTTGAAGAAGATGGAAAATAATGAATGAATAGAGCAGCTTTTGTACAAAGGCAGTAGGAATGGCTCTTAGCTTACCCGCATCCTTGTTCCAAACAGCAAGGACTCGGAAAATGAAGGCACTAAAGGTAGCTGCAAAGAATCCTCTCCAATAATTGCGCACCGCAAAGTAGGTGGAAGTGACCTCGATGCTGAAAAGGACCCCTGGAAAGAGTTGGAAAACGAGCAAAGTTAAAATCAGAAGTGTAATGTTAGAAATATGAGAGAGGCTTTTAAATGCTCTTCTAGAGCAGTGGTCTCCACACCTCTTTGATGGGGCACCCCTACCAAAAAAAAAGATTTTTGAGCATAAAAAGGTTTTTTTATGCTCAAAAAAAGATTATTGAGCATCAAAAGATTTTTGAGCACCCCCAATATATGTCTATTATCTTCTAATATATGTCTATATTATTAAGTCATATTATTATATGACTTAAAAATCACATGCATGTACTACTGTACTAATATATTATGTACAATATAAAACATACGCCAAAAAAAAGAAATTAAAAAAGGATGAGATAAAGGTGAAATAAAATTTTAAAAATAAATTACTTATTAATAGAACAAAATATTTTTTTTTGTTGTCACTAAAAATATAAGGGCCCAACCAGTTGTCCTTGCAAACTAATCAGAAGGTGTTGAATGTTTAGATCTTTAACAAATGGGTTCAAAACCCACTGAAACTCTTCATCTGGAAGATTTTTAAACAGGTTAGAAAGTTCTGTTTTCAAGTTTTTAAAGTCTACAGGTATGAGAGTTTTTGTAGGTGACACACTTGCATTGTATTTGGCAACAAATTCACAAAACCTCCACAAGTTTCTTTTGAAAAGCAGTTACTTTCTCACCCACTGTTAAAACATCACTTTCACCTTGAAGGAATACCTCAAGTAGGTTTATTTTTTTAAAAAAAAGCTGCTAGGTAGCGTGCTTCTGACAAACAGTTCTCATCACAGAAAAGGTCAGCAAATCCAGAATACTGGTCTTTTTGCAAAAGAAAAGCGTGCAACTGGTTTTTAAATTCAACAGCTCTTTTAAAAGCCTATTGCCAGAAGATAACCAGCAAATGTCTGTAGGGTGCCAGGATTTTCATGGTCATTACAAAGTTATGTAAAGATTCTACTGTTTCCAGGTCTTGTTTTTAGGACACGAGCCACGTTGATGACACCTTTCAGCACTTTGTGCACGTCTGGCTCCCATTTTTTCTTGCTGCAACAGCTTGCCTGGGAACGATGCAGTGAATGAATTTCGGGTGTACGTGACCTTCCCATGAAATCCTTTCCTTGTGCCAGTCAAAGCAGCTGCTTCACCGGTCGTTACACTTAAAACACTTTAATTATTAGAAATTAGAAGTAATTCACTGTTGAGGATATAGCATCTCCAGTACATCTTTCCTTCAGTGGCTCACAGAAGGTGGCTCGAAACAGAATCTAGCAAATATCCTAAGCTCAGACGTGTTAGAAACATCTGTACTTCCATCCAGCTGCATGGCAAGCCTTCCACACCGTGTAATTTGTACTGATATTTGTTTCTTCAAATCTTCAGCAACGTTCTCTACGCATCTTCCACGAGCAATTGCTGACCAAGGGATACATTTTAGTTTGCCACCGTGTTGCTTTCTGCATATTATTTCACCCATTTTTATTGTGGCAGGAAGAACAAATGTTTCCCCAGTGGCACGTGGCTTTTTGTCTTTTTCTGTGAAGCAAGAAACCTCAAAGGAGGCTTCTAAACGTTTATCATTAAGTTCAGTGAAATTTGGTTAAAAAGTGTGGGATTGAATATCACGTAATTTGAAACATTGCTGAAAAAATTGTCGAGGTTTGTCTTCCTGTTCTGGATGCTTGGCTTCTAAATGTCTTGCTCATTCTGATGGCTTCATACCATCATCAACTAACTTCTCAAAGCACAATATACACTTAAGATGAGGTTCATCACTAACGATAGTGGATGCAAATCCACATTTAAAATAGCCTTTGATAATTTTGATTATTTTTTTTGGCCAGCCTCTTGTCAGACCTGGTTAAGAGCCTGTACTAGGAGCAGGGGAAGTGTCAGCTCTGCCATTTTCTCGTCGTTCGTCTGTGCTTGCGTGATGAGCATGATCTTCAATCCACGGGCTCTTTTTAAGCCACTTGTCCATTTTGTGGTTAGTTTGGTTAACATTAGATAATATAATCCATAAATCCACTTAAGTGAGCAGGCCTTAACTGCGATACATTGCAATGTGCTGCAGCCCTCTGTGTTGTGAACAACTCAACACCCAGGACACCTCCTGCACTGTATGTGACAAGTGGCCATCTGACATTTGGACCAAGGTTCATGTACTGAATATTAGTAAAGCTTAATTTACTTTTTTGACTATTCGTTTTAGATTTAAAAAACAAAAAAAATAGAAATACCAGCATTTCCTTCCCATACCCCAACGGATCTTCTTGTGCACTCCCTGGGCTATGCACACCCCAATTTGGAGACCACTGTTCTAGAGAGCCTTCCCCTCTGGCCTTCAGAAGGCTGACAACAGGTGGAAACAAAACTGCATCAGAGATGCTGGGGAGGTTGGTAAGCTGCTTTGTTCATAGAGGACAGATCAAAGATAACGGTGCAGAAAAGGGGGAGAGGAGAAGAGGAGGGAGAGAAGAGGACTAGGCAGGAGAGGATTTAGGTACCTGAGAAAAAGGAAACAGAACAGCCACTTGCCTCCAAGTGGTGTCCCAAAGCAGCAGCCGACCCCCACAGCGCAACCCACAGTCAGGACATCCGTGTAATAATATGGCTGCTACTGGTGAAAGAGACAAAGAGAGACAGACAAACAGAAGAAAGAAGGAAAGCAACCAGAGAGTGAGTAACAGAATTGGCAGGTGTGGCCACGTGCTGTCACCTAGCTCTGTCACCAGTCTCAGAGTTACAGCTATATTTATCTTACTTCTCCCTTTTGGATGGCTTTAAAATATTGGAAAGGTAAGACTTGGCACAAGACAGGCGTATACTTGGAATCACATCTTCAAGACACGCGGAGACGGCAGCATCTCATCTTTCATTGAAACATGCACATTTCTGTCACTGTAGAAGAAATGTCTCGTGGGAAGTCATAGAATCATAGAACAGTTAAGGCTGGAAGGGACCTTCAAAGGTCATCTAGTCCAACCCCCCTGCAAGGAACAGGGATATCTCCAACTAGATCAGGTTGCTCAGGGCCTCGTCCAACCTGGCCTTGAAGTCCTCCAAAGGGTGGAGGGCGCATAGGTATGTTTTACTCCCTCTAAGTATGTTTTACTCCCTCTCTTTTAATTTGGCAGGGACTCTCAGGATGCACACGTGCCAGAGAGTGCCTCAAAAACCCACCCTGTGAGTCCACATGCATGAGGCACATTCCTGTCCAGAACTGAGTGTGGACAGATGCTGAAAGTCCTGTTACCCTGGGTAGGTGAGTGGGAAACAGATCACCTAGTAAAGCATTGTGCTGTCCTGGCAAAAAAATAATGATAATAAAGGGAAATGGAAGGTATAAAAGGTAGAGTCTCTCCCAAGACAGTTTTGGAAGACACAGAGCTGTTGGAAGGGAGAAAATGCTCTTCCACTCTTTCTACAAGATTTCTCCCAGAAGTGCCTGAGAATGGTGAAAGGTGAGTAGGTAGGTTTTATTTTATTTCGTCTAAATCCTAAGTGGTGTATAATATAGAATGATAGAATGATAGAATCATAGAATCATAGAATGGTTAGGGTTGGAAGGGACCTCAAAGATCATCTAGTTCCAACCCCCCTGCCATGGGCAGGGACACCCTCCACTACACCAGGTTGCCCAAAGCCTCATCCAACCTGGCCTTGAACACTTCCAGGGGTGGGGTATCCACAACTTCTCTGGGCAACCTGTTCCAGTGCCTCACCACCCTCAATGTAAAGAATTTCTTTCTTATATCTAACCTAAATCTGCCCTCTTTCAGTTTAAATCCATTGCCCCTTGTCCTATCACTACACACCCTTGTAAAAAGCCCCTCTCCAGCTTTCCTGTAGCCCCTTTAGATACTGGAAAGCTGCAATAAGATCACCCCGGAGCCTTCTCTTCTCCAGGCTGAACAGCCCCAACTCTCTCAGCCTGTCTCCATAGCAGAGGTGCTCCAGCCCTCGGATCATCTTCGTGGCCCTCCTCTGGACTCATTCCAGTAGCTCCATGTCCTTCTTGTGTTGGGGACTCCAGAGCTGAACACAGTATTCCAGGTGGGGTCTCACGAGAGCAGAGTAGAGGGGCAGAATCACTTCCCTTGACCTGCTGGCCACGCTGCTTTTGATACAGCCCGGGATATATCAGCGTTAAAAGCCTGTGTATTTGGTACTTTCTACTATCACGTGTTCCAAAAGTAGCCTGCTAGATCTCCCACAAGAGTTTTGAGAAAGGGCGGTCCTGTGGTCTGGTGGGAATCTGAGTGGCCAGGCTGAATTCTAAGACCAGAAGACCATGAATGTCTCTTTACCTGAGCAGCTGTTTGATAGAGCCTCAACCAAAAGGTGCCTCAAGGCTATCCGCACAACTCAACAGAAAATGGCCATGGACCCTTCCCTGATCCAGAACAATGTGTCCTTATCCTCAGCTTTGTCCTAGATAACTTCTGGGCTTATTAGTGCTCCTGTGGCCTTAAGACATAATCATGCCCAGAACAGGGATGGAGTTCAGTTGAAAGAGCCTGGATTAAGTAGTAGGAGGGTTGTGTTGTAGCTCACCAGCATGGTGATGAACAGCTTGAAACTGAGGGTATATGCAACAAGGCCTGCAGTATGGCAAGAGGTAATTAGAGTTGTTGGAAGGTGCAAAACCTGATGGGACAGTGTTGAAGAACAGTATGAGATGGAGAGACCTATAGCAACCGCTGAGAACAGCCTGTGGCATATGGCACCTCCCAGCACTGCACCAGAGTGCTGGTGCTGTGTAGCACCATAGCAGTAGCCAGATGGACCAAATCAAATAAACAAAGAGCACTAGAGTGCACTCAGAAAAGTAGGCTGAGCACCTTTTGCTTGTCAAGGGGTACAATGGATTTTCAAATCCACTTTGAAGGCTCCTCATTAGTACACAGGGTAGTGTTCACCAGCAGCAACACCAAGATGGTAGACACCACGGGCAATACGATGTGAGGTTGGGAGCTATATCCTGGACTAGGGTCAGCTAAAGATTACATGACTCCCACATAACGGAAATCACATTCAGCAATTTGGTGTGAATCATAGAATCATAGAATGGTTAGGTATGGAAGGGACCTTCAAAGGTCATCTAGTCCAACTCCCCTGCAAGGAACAGGGATATCTCCAACTAGATCAGGTTGCTCAGGGCCTCGTCCAACCTGGCCTTGAACGTCTCCAGGGATGGAGCATCCACCACCTCTCTGGGCAACCTGTTCCAGTGTTCTACAACTCTCATGGTAAAAAATTTTTACCATAATCCGTAAGAGGAACCCAACTAGAGCTACAAAAGCTGTGGTAACTTTCCGTTTGTTCCCACACTACAATGTTATTACAGACTCACAGCAAGTTTTAGTCTGGAAAGTACCTCTGAATGCTCCTCCAGCTCTCTGCTCAGAGATCAGGGCTAACTTCGGGGCTAGATCAGAGTGCTCAGCATCAGGGTGATAGGAGAGCCCTGAGCACCTCCAAGAGTGGAGATTCCCCAGCCTCTCTTGCCACCTGTGCCACCCTGAAAAACTTCTGGGGCAAGGGGAGAATTTTTTTTAATGCACAGACAGAATTTCCCTTGTTGCAACTTGTACCTGTTGTCTTTTCACTGTTCTCCGAGAAGGGTTTGGCTATTTTGTCTCTCTAACATCTTCTTCAGCTACAGAAGACAGCAGCAATTAGACCACTCTCCCTGTAGCCTTCCCTTTTCTTCTCTAGCTTTTCCTGGTGAACTAGGCATAATGTGTCCTGCAGTCTCTGAAACTATATTAATTCCACGTACAGAGAAAGAAACAGGAAGTGTAGACTGTGTTATGGAAGATCTTTTGAGTTTGGTTTTTTGCTTTTTTTTTTTTTACCATTAAGAGAGATACCATTCCCCTGTATACTACCAATGGTTCCACCTGACTGTGGTCTAATCCTTGGTTCTGAACCTGCTTTCTCTCAAGGTTTTTGGCAGACTCACAAGTTTTGCCTTGAAGCCTCAGGCTCCACGTGAGGCTGTCTCCAACTTGCTACGTTGCCCACACACACGATGCTCTCAGCATCTCTCTTGCTGAACCTGCTTTTCTTCCTGGTACATCTTTTCTCTAGTTATCAACTGAGGAACCTCTAATTTGTAGCTGACAAACTATGTTCCTTCCGTTTTCTGAAGAGCAAGCCAGAGTAAAGACCATTCTTATTGTTGCTGCAAGACCATGTTGCGTTTGTCACCTAAGTCATCCATTTAAAGACTAACAGGAAGGTAATGCATGGAAGAAATAAGTCAACTTGGAAAACACAGGCATTTCAAAAACTCCTTAAACTTCTGGGCACAGTAATCATGGAGAGAGGTTCAAGTGGGACGAAAGTGAAATGAAGGAACAACAAAGAACGGAGAATATTTTAAGACGAATTATTTATGAATATATTTCCACTGTTCTAGGAAGAAGTTACCTTGTGTCTCTGGCACGCGTGCTATTTAAGGAAATTCTGTGAATCAGAAGACTAGCACAAACGTGAGGAGATAGAGATAAATCTCCACATTTCTCTTCACAGTGAGATCATAGAAAGGTAGGAAGGGACCACTGGAGGTGTCTCCTCCAACTCCCTGCTCAGAGCTGTGCTAATTCCAAGGCTAGATCAGGTTCTTGTCCAGGTAAGTTCTGAACATCTCCAAGGGTGGAGATTCCCTGGACCCTCTGGGCATCTGTGCTGGTGCTGAACCACCCTTGGGGGAGAGGCACATACTTTCCTCAAACACAGCCAGAATTTCCCTTGTTGCAAGTTGTGCCCATTCCCTCTTGCGCTGTGACCCCCTGGAAAGAGCCTGGACCACTCTTTGCTAAAATCCCGCTTTAGGTGGCTGATGGCATCAGTTAGACCATCCCCCTTTAGCCTTTTCTCCTGTAGGCTGAGCAAACCCAGCTTCCTCAGCTTCTCCTCACTTTTCATACACCTTACTCCAACCTCCCAACCATCTTACTGGACCTTCACATCTTCCTTATGTAGGGAGTCCAAAACCTTACAGATGGACATTTCTGTTCTCCAGTCCACCCAGGAAGTATTCATATAGCACTTTCCTGTTCACTTTATCACTTCCTGTCATACTTGCCATCATCTCCTGCCCTTAGATGTTGCTGCTCCTTACATGAAGTTTGTTTTTAACTTCTGTTCTTTACTCGATCCTTATTGATTTTCTGGACATCCTTTGGTTTACTCCAGGTTGAACACTATCCATGGCAGGCAAGGACTGAACATCATTAGAAATCAGCTCATCAACAGGTGTCACTTTTCCTGTAACCTTCCCTTTCTTTCACTGCCACATGTGAAAAGAAAGACCTCGGGTCGATAGAGTGGAGAGGTACCTGTGGAGAACCTTTCCTGAGAGCAGGAAATCTCACAGGGAGAGCCTAAATGAGTTGTACATTAAATGTCACATACAGGAAGACACTTGCCTCCAAGAGGAGCCCCGAAGCAACATCCAACTCCAACTGCGCAAGCCGCCACCAGGAGGTCGAGCTGCCTATGCACATTCTGGAACGGAGAGTGCAGCCAGAGAAGGGCATGCTGGGGTTAGAGGGAGCAAAGCCAGGGGGTTAGGATCCAAAACGATGAAACAAAGCCACAGCCAGCAGCAGATTCAGCCATCGCTATTGCAAATAGCAGGCTCTACACACTTTAGTACTGTCAGCTGGTCTTCAGCAGGGACGTCTGGTCCTTACACACAGACAGGACCTCCTGAAGTAGAACAGCACCTCCCATTGTTGTGCTACACAGCCAATTTTTGCTAAGAGCCTGTATGTAAAGCAGTTCCTACACGTAGCTATATATGCAGTTAACAGATTTTTTTTTATACAACTAGTCAACACAGTGGTCAGCCTGCAGAGGCTGTTCTGCAACAGCGAAAGCCTAGAGACGGTGTCAGTGTCTGTAATTAGCAACAGTCTATAAATTTGGCTTAAAGACAAATTGATCTTTGCCTGCAGCTACTTTTTCTACGCGGACAACGATCAGGGTTCAATGGTATCACCATCGTGAGACTGAAAACTTGTCAAATGCACATTCCTAACCAGCCTCTGCGTAAGTGGTAGGTAACATCGGTGGTCCTGCACAGTTTTTTGACTGTATACCTGGCCTTCCACTACCATTTTCTTTGGATTGTATTTTACTGCTCTCTAGCAGTATGGTGAACTTATATCCACGTTTCCTCTGTGTTTTGTGGCCTACCAATAGTATCCTAAGTGTCTTAGGAGTTCAACCTGTGGAAGAGCTGTATGCAGAGACATGTGCCTTACCTCATACACACCACAGAAGATTGACATGAACTTGCTGAGGACCGCAGCACAGATACTGGCAATATGCACAAAAGGACCCTGCAAGAGAAGAGGTTACTGACAACCGTTTAGCCATTACAGATCTCATAATTGCTCTTTGGCCATCTCAGCTGGTCCTCCAATCTTCTTTTTTTTTTTTTTCCCCCCCTCTCAAAGACTACCTGACTGGAGTTCTTTGATGTTTTCTATATCAAACCTTTCAAAGTGGAAGGAAAATGGCCAATGGAAGATAAGCATTGCTGGAAAGTGCAGAGCTTTGAGAAGAGAAATGGTGGCAAAAGAAAAAAAACATTCATAGACTCTTCTTCCATAGACAACTTCTCCCACCCCCCAGACCCTGGCCACCACAGCACTTGAAAACAGCAATATTTACCTCTTTCCCCACAGGCATGCCACTTCCAAGCCCAGCTGTGAGGCCCACAACTTTGGCCACAAAAGCTTTGAGAGTGAGATACTCCTTGAGGACCACTCCTCTCATAATGGTCTTGAGCTCTGGGATCCCAGACCCTGAAAACAACAGCAGGGCAGAGGATGAACAAAAACCCACAGCCAAATGGAATAAGAAAAACGAGACAGACAGAAACAGATCTTGCCATGCCTTCTGCCCTCACCAACAGCCTGTGGAGAGACGAGGTGGCAGAAAATGGCCGCAAACAGAATAAGAACAAGTGGGTACGTGACCCACGCCAGATACTGCATAGCAATGTTCGGGTGCAGCTCTCTGTACATCCACTTGTAGGCTGTAGACAGACAAACAAAGAAGTTGTCAGTCACCACAGCTGCTCCAAACAGGTTGGCAGACATCAAAGAATCACACACTTGCTAAACCTGCCCGTACCAAGTGTCCCTGAGAAACGCAACCCTAAAGTTCTCGCTTCCTCAGACGAACCTTGTTACGTTTTGAGTACAAGTTCCCAAATAAAACAGGGATTCTGGAAGAATGTGTAGAAGTGGCTCTCTGCTATTAGACACTCTTAACACCTGTGCCCAAACGTGGTGTGAGAAGAGGTGTGTTCCATGCAGCTGTGAGGATGAACCACTGTACAGGGTCTTTCCATCTGGCAGCCTGAGGGCCTTATGTGTGTCCTGAAGGAAAATAAAGTGGTCCACCAATAGCTAGTGTCCTCTCCTCCATTTCAATCACATGAAAAATTGTTCCTTCATAAAAACCAGCTCAAAAAGCTCTGATTATGGTTTGCCTTTTAGAGCAGCAGCATGAAGGGAGCTGTGCCAACTGTTAAACCAGCAGTGGTACCATTGCTCAGCCAGGTGCAACAGCACGAGCTGCCAAGAATCCAAACTGCAGCTCCTGTGCAGCTCATCTTCTTTGCCTGAGCTGGCTCCCCACAAAGCAGGAGGCTGAGACTTGGTGGAGGGAAAGAAAAAAAAACCCAAGAACTCAGCTGCAGGGAGTATAGAGGACAGGAGCTCTCTGAGGCTGGTAGGGTAAGCCTGGTGGATGGGGAAGCTCTAGGAACACTGGGATGAAGGAATATTGGGAGCTTTGAGAAACCACAGTGTCTGGTGGACATCAGCAGCCAAGAGTGCTGAGAGGAAAGTGTTGGGGGTGTGTGTGCAGGTCAGGATTGGGACACTGAGGGTAAGGACAAAGGAACAGTGCAGCTAACAGGATGTGGGCAACGTCGTGTATGCGTGCGTGCACTGGGATGGAAGATCTTGTTTTATATTGTTATAGCTGGCGAAGGGGAGAGGGACCCCAGGAAAAATGCAGGAAAGGGATGTGAGACAGTGATTAGGAAATCTTTGTGAAAAGAGCCAAAGGAGAGAGCACTATGTGGCCAGGTAGCAGGAAAGTGCAGGGCACTGTATAAATAAAAATTGGAAAGAACGTGAGCGAGGTAAAAAGCAGAAACAGTATCAGGAGGACATCTAAGAGCTCTTTCCCCTCCCCATCCCCCATGTGCTCAATATTCCTGGGGAATACAGGAACCAGTATAACAGGAAGGACTACAGTACCACTTGCCTGTGCCCCTACATATTCGAGGGAGTAGGAGGTAAAGGGAGTCAAAATAATCATAGAATCATAGAATGGTTAGGGCTGGAAGGGACCTTCAAAGGTCATCTAGTCCAACCGCCCTGCAAGGAACAGGGATATCTCCAACTAGATCAGGTTGGTTTGTCTTTGACTCATCATACACATATCCTTTGTTTCTGCCTGCTTACTTCCAAATTTTTCCCTGCCATCTCTTTAAAGAACCTCTCCCCAGTTAACCTTTTCTCTACTATACTGCAAGCACTTTAAACTTCCCAGGCAGCAAGAGGTGAGGATGGGACACTGGTGTTAAAGGAGGAGGAACACTGGTCACTGGGCTTTGTAAAGCATTAGTATCATTTACAGCGTGCTTTTGTACCACCTGAATGGGACCCACCCTGGAGGCTCTTCGCACTGGCATAATCCATTCCCCAGCTCACCAACGCCATGACCAGACCCAACAGAACCAAGAAAATCCAGTCCTCTCCAAGCTTCTTGGTAACATACTTCTGGAGGCGTCTAGCACAGTCTGTGGAGGGAAGAGTGAACCAGAAAAACTGAGGGAACATAAACGAAGCCAGTGTCCATCTCCCCTCTCCTACGTTGAGCACTGACTACAATACGGATTTATTTGGAAGCATCATGGGCTTCGTGTTGGAGGACTGGTACCCATCCCTCTCTTACACAGTCCTGCAAAATCTTACGCAGTTTCAAAAAAAAAAAACCAAAAGGAAGAGTGGGGACAGGGTGGGATTGAATGTCTTGTGCACTAGCAGCAGAAATCTGATACAAGAAAGTCCTTTTCCTCCTGTTACAGAGATCTGTTGTGGAAGAAACTTGCGACTGGTCTTTTTTCCAAACAGATCTTGGCTCTTCCTAGGATGAAAGCTTGCATGAAAAGGTCTTTTTGATCCACTGTGATTCCTTTTCCTTCCTTTCCTGCTTCTCTCCAGTCACAATTTTGTCTTGCTTAAATTCCATCTCTCTGGCTGGCCTACTCAATATAGGGTAAAGAAAGACGAGTTGTCCCTACCTTGACATTTGGAATAGTGCTCTTCTTTGATCTCTACTTGACTCTCACGTTTCAGGGGTCTTTCATTGTTCTTTTGGGCCTGCTTCTTATTCAGTAGTTTTGCTGCTTCCTTCTCTGCAAAGTCGGTTATCTGGTCTGTGTATTGGCCGTAAAGCTAGAGAAGCAGAAAGCAAGAGAGATCAAAACAAAAAGGGAAGGAAAATGCTCCTCCACAAAGAACATTAAAGACAAAAGGCAGATCTACTAACAGTCCAAAGTGCAGACCCAAATATACCCAAGCGGGGAGACAGACACACAGAAACTCTCAGACAGGTGCAGCTCATCTTTTTTTTTTTTTTCCCTTTTTTCTTTCTGGTTCCCTCTTCTCAATCTCTACAAAATCTTTTCATCTCCTTTTTGGGAGTACCAGATATGATAACAGAATATTACTTGCTTTCTAACACCTTGAGAAAGAGCTGGCTGTGGTCTGAAGAGATCAAGCAGGCTTTCTGGACGTACAAAAGAAGGTTAAAACAGTTCAAGAGGCTGCTGTCAACTCAGAGCTGTCTCATAGAGTCCAGCAGCACTGTAAAACATCTCTGAAGGCTTCGAGAGGTATTACACTATCAGACAGGCTGCAGGAATGTCCTGCATCTGTTCCTCCTGCTGCCAAGGAACGCTTAACAGGGCACACAGCCATTGATGGGGCCTGCGGAGGAAAAGGAGCAGCATCAGCTCAGAATTGTCACAGGGTGCTGCACACCTCCTCCCATTATTCACCCAAATCATCACGCTGAGTCCTCATATATCTCCAGTTCCTCTGAATTTCCTACCTACCTAATCCAGTCTTTGTCTTCAGATACTGATCTTGAAACGCAATGGGTCACGTAAATTCACAACTACCTAGAGGCGCTTGCCAATGACATTTAAAACGTGGATTTGCAGTAAACTTGGCAGTTGTGCCATCTTGTCAGCAACGAGATGTCAAGGGAGCTTGAAGGATCCTGACTGCGCCCCCGTGTTTATCAGATTCCCTGGAGTGCAGCTATCCCACCTCACTCTTTCAGAGTACCGCTGGGGAAGGTGTGCATTGGAGAAGCAGAGAAGATGCTTCTCCTTCTCACAAGTCCTTCGGTGAACCAGCTTGGGCTTTACTCGAGGTCATGTTACCACCTGTTGTAGGGCTTGAGATCTTGGCACTTCCCACCTGTGAGGAGGTGACCCTTTGCTTCCTCCTCTGCACAGCTTCCCTGAGATTTTCTGAGCTGCAGGAGGAGGGTGAGCAATGCTTTGTTCAGCAAAATCAGACACTTCAGATGGAGAATAACAAGACATATGAGACACACAAAGCACTACCATGTACTTAGAAGACATTTCTCTTTGACAGCTCTGTGTCTCCTTGTTTCAAAGTGGCACAGGAGATGTCGCTCCTGTTCCCTTGAGACCAAACAGATTCAGAGACTCAGGAAAATTCACACTGGAAGGCACCTCTGGAGGTTTCTAGTCCAAGCCTCTGCTCACAGCATGTGAACTCCAACGCCAGATCAGGCTGCTCAAGACCTTGTCCAGGTGACTCCTAAACATCTCCAAGGGTGGAAATTCCCCAGCTTCTCCGAGCGCCTGTTTCAGTGCTCTATGAATTTGTATTTCCACATAACAAATATGACTGAAGATCCTAAGTAGTTTATTTATTTGCATACATTTCTCAAGAGACAATTGAACCATGTGTGGATTTTTTTTTACAAAACACACATCTGGGCTTTTTTAAATCGTCCTGTTCTTAAGGTGGCTTACTCGCTGTCTCTTAACAAATTAGAATCACAGAATCATAGAATGGTTAGGGCTGGAAGGGACCTTCAAAGGTCATCTAGTCCAAGCCCCCTGCAAGGAACAGGGATATCTCCAACTAGATCAGGTTGCTCAGGGCCTCGGCCAACCTGGCCTTGAACGTCTCCAGGGATGGAGCATCCACCCTATCTGAATCCTATCCTATCTGAACATCAGATAGGATAGGATATCATCCAATAGATGATAGATATCATCCAGTCCTATCTGAACATCTGAAAATATGCTTCCATTTTCCACTCTGTTGGAAGCTGACAAATTCAATGTCATTATTAACCACATGATTATCAGCACACTTTAGGTAAATTAAGCAATGCAGACTCTTTGCAGTGAGGAACGGCCAAGCTCTGACCCCCATCTTCAGTCTTGCAGATGTTCAGAACGTGCCTGGACAAGGCCCTGGCCAACCTGACCCAGCTTTGGAGTTGGCCTTGCTGCGAGTAGGGGCTCAGGCTAGAGACCCCAGAGGCACCTCCCACCTACATCTGTTTGTGAATCTCTTATTCTACACTACTGCATCGCCTAACTACTTATTTATTACACATCCCTCCCACTACACCCAGCTATGTGTTGCTGAGCAAGGTCTCTGCCATGAACACCCTTTCTATAGTCACAAATGACACAGCTTCTAAATACGTCACCAGCTGCAGCTGCTTTCTCATGCAGAAAGAAAACAATACAAAATCCTACAGTGTATGAGAATGTATGTTTTTATCAATGTATAGTACATCATCTATCATCTATCTGTTATCTTAATTGTCAAAAATTATGTATATATTACCATTATTATCCTACTACTATTATTATTTTATTATCTATTAATCACTATATGTTTTTCGACCATCAATTATCTGAAGGTCCCAGGCCAAAGACCAAGATTCTCTGTTCTGGGACCTGTGTAAACCAAATCAAATCACAGAGACAGCCTGAAATAGCTTCCGACCTACATGTAAACCAGAACGCGACAGCTAGCAAAAAAAAACCCAAAAAAGGGCACAACAGGATCAAAATCTCTCTCTGCCAACTGTTTTTTCACATGACGGTGGAGGAAGAAATCTTAATGGTTACTCTGCATGGAAATGGATGAAAATGTGCAGCGTTTTGTTTTTCTTGCTAATAATTATAACAAGTGTGCGTGTTTGTACAAGGTGTACATCAGCAGGCATGTTTGTATTTCTGGAGTCCCCAACACAAGAAGGACATGGTGCTACTGGAATGAGTCCAGAGGAGGCCACGAAGATGATCCGAGGGCTGGAGCACCTCTGCTATGGAGACAGGCTGAGAGAGTTGGGGCTGTTCAGCCTGGAGAAGAGAAGGCTCCAGGGAGACCTTCCAGCACCTTCCAGTACCTGAAGGGGCTACAGGAAAGGTGGAGAGGGGCTTTGTACAAGGGTGTGTAGTGATAGGACAAGGGGCAATGGATTTAAACAGAAAGAGGGCAGATTTAGGTTAGATATAAGAAAGAAATTCTTTACATTGAGGGTGGTGAGGCACTGGCACAGGTTGCCCAGAGAAGTTGTGGATGCTCCATCCCTGGAAGTGTTCAAGGACAGGTTGGATGAGGCTTTGGGCAACCTGGTGTAGTGGAGGGTGTCCCTGCCCATGGCAGGGGGGTTGGAACTGTATGATCTTTGAGGTCCCTTCCAACCCAAACCATTCTATGATTCTATGATTCTATGATTCTATTTGCAGGAATGGTCAGTAAAATATACATTCCTGCCTGGAGATAGGCATGGGAATGCATTTGCTGGCCTGCTTGGTTGTGCATGAGGTTGTCTATCGACGCGCACGGACCAGCACGCCTCTGGAGCTGAGAGCAGAGACACTCCGGTGGCAGGGAGCAGGGGCGCGGAGGTGGGTTGCCTCACCATGTCATCTGTGCCTACTCGTGAGAGCAGTCCTAGACCTGTAGGACCAGCATATCAGGTGGATACGGGTGAACTGGGATGCTTTTGTGCATGGATGCGCTTTACTGGAGCAGTAGTTTGCAACCCACGGCTGCCCCCTGCCCCCAGCTCACCAACGGCTCGTGTAGCACAAGGTGCGTTTCCTTAACCCACTCCAGCTCTCCAGCCGTCTCATATCTTTTAGGCAGCTTCAGAAGAGAAACTCCTGAATGTGGCCTGGAACTGGTTCTCTAATCTTTTGCAATGTGGCACATATAATCCTCTCTGGGATGCTTACAGAATCATAGAATCGTAGAATGGTTTGGGTTGGAAGGGACCTCAAAGATCATCCAGTTCCAACCCCCCTGCCACAGACAGGGACACCCTCCACTACACCAGGTTGCTCAAAACCTCATCCAACCCGGCCTTGAGCACTTCCAGGGATGGAGCATCTACAGCTTCTCTGGGCAACCTGTCCCAGTGCCTCACCACCCTCTGAGGAAAGAATTCCTTCCTTATATCCAATCTAAATCTCCCCACTTCCAGTTTAAAGCCATTGCCCCGTGTCCTGTCACTACATGCCCTTGTAAAAAGTCCCTCTCCAGCTTTCCTGTAGCCCCTTTAGGTACTGGAAGGCTGCTATAAGATCACCCTGGAGCCTTCTCTTCTCCAGGCTGAACAGCCCCAACTCTCAGCCTGTCTTCATAGGAGAGATGTTCTAGCCCTCAGATCATCTGTGTGGCCCTTCTCTGGACTCGATCTACTGGAATAGATTTTCTTGGTGGCAAATGTGACTTTTCCCTTATCAGTAAATCACAAAAGCTTTCAGGAGATGATGAATGCATCCCCTCCCTCATCCCCCAGTCATTCACCTAAGTATTCATGCATGGCCATATGTAGTCATGTAAGGAGAAACATCCACTCTGTATGAATTTCACATTCGCACGCTCTCTCCCTCATCGTTTGACTGGGTCCTTCATCGCTCTAAAGCCCTCCTACATCAGCTTAGTCTGAACAGAGCAGTAGGAAATAAGACACCGGGACTCTGCTGTAAAACCTCCCCTTTGCAGGAGGCTGTCCCAAAAGGAGAGGTAGAGGAGGTGCAGAGGATATTAGAACAAGAAGCCATGACCGGAGTACAGCTATGTCCCTGAAATCTTTCTGAACTGCTGCTTGTGCGATTCAGAGCGAGAGTCAGGTCAAGTTTAAGGGTTAGACAATCTCTCACTTACAGCTCCACTAAGAGCTACCAAAACTAGCACTATACATGGATGGGTCTGTGGCCATGGATTGCTTTTTCATCCGAGAAAAGTCCAACCAGAGCTCTGCGTGACTTTACCCATACAGCTGTGCAGACATCGCTGCTCTCTTTGGGTTTATTCACTCTTCTGCTCTACTCGACATCGCTACGCAGCTGAAGGCAGCCGCGTTTTCTCTTTTCTGTCACACATCCATCAATAGTCTGATCGATTTTCCCCATCCCAGCTTGCCCATTCTAACCCTCTTTGTGTCCATGGCGGGTGCAAACGAGCCCTGACCGGAAAAGCTGCTCCCGCTCCTTTGGACAACTGGGAAAGTCAACGCCTGACCTGGGAGCCAACAAGCAAAGGGGAGAGTTGGTGGGATTGGGAATGGAGAGGGACACGCGTGCTCTGCAGCACCCTTCTGGGAGCCCCAGATGTGATCCCAGGGGGACCTGTGCTGCCACAAACATCCCGGTTGTCCAGCCCTACCTGTGGGTAGCTGAGGGAGTTCTCCAGGTAGTGCAGGTCGTCCCCTGTCCCCCCGGCCTCGCGTCCTGCCTCCAGAGGGATCCCGTAACGAGTGCATTTCTCAAAGCGGACATAGTTGTATTGCGGTGTGCCCCCCCACAAAGCTGACTTCGGCCTGGGTTCCTGCGTCACGGCCTCTGAGCTCTCCATTCCTCTACTCTTCCTCACGCTCGGTTGTAACGGAGCTGGCGCCCTGGGCCTTACCTAGAACCACCTCATCTTCTGGCCAAGAGCGTGCCTTCTGCTCCCTCCTTCTTTTCTTTCTCTCCTCGGACCGCTCTGACTTGTCCTGTTCGTGCGCTCACTTTCTCTCTGCCCCTCCTCCTCCTCCTCCTCCTCGTGCCTCTCTTACTTTCTCCCCTTCCTATGCAAAGGCAGGGATTGCAGGCTTTAACTATATTTATAGCAACCGTCCTCTGCCACATGATTCCCCGGTGCCGTGCCTGATCTCAGCAGAAGGCACTAACTCTGCCTGGATTGAATATCAGGTGTGATAGAGGGGAACTCCTGAAGGAGAGGGAAGGGGGAGGGGTGGGAGGAGGACAGGAGGCCATGAGACAGAGCTAGACGTACAGAGACAGAAAGCAGGCAGGAGAAAGCAGAAATGATTATCCAGGAGATCTCCTCTTTCACATCTCCCCATCCTGAGCAAGCCAGATTTGCCATGAGAACAAAATGCAATGGGCTTCCTTGTTCTCTCCCCAGGTACCAGGTGTCCAAAAGACCGAGCGACCATCATAAAGATGCCAGCAACTGTGGTGAGACAGAACAAGAAGAGGGCACACTCAATGTCCCAAAAATACATTTCTAAGTCCGTGGTCCACAAGAGAAGCAGCAAGCCCTAATGGAGAAGTCAGGCACCCCTGTAAACTGCTGAGCATTACACTTCATCTCAGCATTCCCATGTGCCCTCATAGGGAACACTTCACACTTTTGAAGAACGTCACCAGACTGAGCTGTGGGTATTCAATTATGCAGAAATTCATTCCTCTTGATGCTCACTTTTCCCCAGGCTAGAGGCAGAAACAGCTTCTCCTCTCCTCCCTGCCCACCGTTCCTCAGCCAGGCAAAAAAGCAATGAGCTCAGCCAACACCAGGGAGCTACCTACCAGCCAGGGACAGGAACAAGAAGCGTGTTCCAGCAACATGGTCTAGAGACACCTCCCAGTACTGTCAGCGTGCTGCCTGTAACCATGTGTCTTCTGATGGCTGTTAGTCAATGAAGAGCCGTGAGTTCAAGATCCTAGAAACTGTGTACAAGAAGATCCCACGTGCCTCAAACACAGTCACTAAAGAGCTGCTATTAACTCCTTCTTCCTCCTCTTGTACACTACCACCTCTACAGAATAATGGTTTCCAAGCTTCTCACACTGCAAGGTAAGAGATTTCAAGGCAGCATGGGGAAGAGAGAAAGGCAAAACATCCTCCTTTTGGGTCCAGAACAGTAACCTGATTATTTCATTTTGCAGACCCCTGTAAACTTTACTCCTGGAGGCTCATTTTGCTTTTTCTCAGTCTGCATGGTCCTCAAGAGTGAGATACAAAGAAAGTCTCCAAGAGCAAGACACATTTGATTTCCACTGTAAATCACCTTCCCACCTCTTCCAATGTTTCTGCTAACAATATCCATATGGATATCCATTAGCACTAATATCCATATGGTTATTGCCAGTCTGTACAACCCACATCTGGTGGCAGGCTGGGCAAAAGCAGTATCAGTGCTGCCTCAAAACACATCGGCTCCTCTGTTTCGTTCTCACCAGCACTCATTTTACTGTCAATAAGCAATGTTTCCTGGAGGAAAGCTGTGGCCCATCAGTAGGATAAAGTTGTGATGAGCCACCTTAAAGAAGAATCTCTAAGTGACCTTGTCTAGGAAATCAGAGGAGAACATTTGGATACCCTCATAGATTTCCATCGAAAAAGGCATCAGCTGCTCCCAACCTGTTGAGATACTTTTGGAAGACCAATGTCACTATGGCTTACACAAAAAATGATGCATAGTATATAGTGTATAAAATATAAAAAACCTGTACAGAATTTAAGTATACATCCCTAAAGACTAACCACAGTAAGTCCCAGCAAACATCGAAACTGTAATACAGCACCAGTTACTATTGCATTTACGGGAGGAGAACACTCGGCCACTGGAGAAAACTGATGAGAACCTTTACCCAAAAGGGCACTCTTCTAGCTCTTGTTTTTCAAAAGGCACAAGAATAGCACAGCAGAAATTGCTTCAGTATGAAAAAGAACCCTCTACCGCCAGCTAATCAAACTCTACTGTCTGTCTTGTATGATACTGTTGTGGAATTTCCGTGGAAAATAGTTATATAATTATAGCCTAAAATAAGATGATCCTACCCTGAAAGATTTTTTTTCCAAAAACTGTCCCTCTCAGTCTCCAAACTGGGCCCAGCCTCACTCACCTCCTCAACAAAAGCATGAAGGACCCCAAGGCCAACATTCACCAAATGGCTCTAGGTGCTACTGGAACAAGAAACCTTTACTATTCTCATGAGAAAGACAACTTGCAAAACCCCTGCACCCTCACTCGCGCTTTCCACAATGTAGTAGACCTCATCCAGTGCACCAAATGGTAGACTGGTAACTATGCAGATGGACCTGAACAATCATTACGCGCAGAGCGGTACCTGTGTACGCTCTAAGGACATCTGCAGCTAAAGATCTAGCATTTATCTAACTCCCAGTGGGAAAGCACTTCTCATCAAACAATGTCTCTACCTGTGATCTCTGTTCCCAGATACTGTCTGTCAAGCAAAAGACTGAGAACTGGAATTAACCATTCCAGTGGATGACAAAATAAACGTCACCTGTAGAGATACTAGGTATTTCCTGTGTCCTGAACACTAATCTTATAAGCTCCACAGCTTATAAATCACCCCTCTCCCTCTTTCTTCTAAGAGGAAAGCACTTTATCAGCTTTCTGGGCACTAGTAACATCCTCTCTATTCCACAAGGTACCCACAATCTTTTGCCACAGCCTCACTGACACTGGTCTAGTTAAACACAAAGCAGCTACTCTCCACTTGTATTTGCTTTGAGATCTGCTGCTTCTGTTTCAGACTCAAAGAAGAACTTGTAGACCCAGCAGCTTGCCCACTTTTTCCAGCTGGCACAGCTGACCTAAGGAAAGGGATTGTTCCATCGTCTTGCCCATGTTTTCAGATCAGCAGAGTGCCAAATGTCCAGAATACTGAGCATACCCTGGAAAGATCTGCCTTTCTGCACTGCTGCTGCTCAGCAACTGCTGTCGAATCTTCCCTGTCGCTTTTCCTATAATCTCTTGCCACAGTTGTTCTTTTTACAAGGGTGTGTAGTGACAGGACACGGGGCAATGGCTTTAAATTGAAAGAGGGGAGATTTAGATTGGATAAAGGAAGAAATTTTTCACTCTGAGGGTGGTGAGGCACTGGAACAGGTTGCCCAGAGAAGCTGTGGCTGCCCCATCCCTGGCAGTGTTCCAGGCCAGGCTGGATGGGGCTTTGGGCAACCTGGCGTAGTGAAGGGTGTCCCTGCCCATGGCAGGGGGGTTGGAACTGGATGATCTTTGAGGTCCCTTCCAACCCAAACCATTCTATGATTCTATATATTGTCTTTATTGCCCATCTGTCCTGCTTTCTACTACCAAGGCCCAGCTCTGCCTTTCTACCAGGACACAGCAGTGTAGCACTGCTGTTGCGTGAGAGGTTACCAACACGCTCAGGAGATTAGCACAGAAGTGGAGGAAGACGTCAAAAAGGAGGAAGATGTAACAACCATCTTGCACCAGTCACAGACACAGATGACCCCTACATATGGCTTGACTCCTCAGGTGCACCTAAGTCTCTTGAAAGGACTCACAAGTTTCTAGACTGCCCACAGCACACAAGAGGAAAGGTGGACAACCTGCTTAGGCACCAGTTTTTTCTTTCTGTATTACAGGCCCTAGAGGCACTCCGAGGTGTCTTTCTCTGGTACTTCCTTCAAGCAGGACAGGATATGGTTTAATGGGGATTAGGGATGGTTGGACTCGATGATCTCTAAGGTCTTTTCCAACCTAGAAATCTATGAATCTATGAATCTATGAATCTTCATGACAGATGAAACTACAGCTACAGCCCAATGTAGGGTCTTAGGTGAGGAAAAAGAAAGGAGCAGAAGTTAGAAGAACTCTCACCCAGGATGGGTCTCTTCTCCAGTCAGCCATCTATCTTTCTTCCTCTTCCTTCTAGTTTTCTCTCAGGTCTCTCTTTCTCTGCCTTTATTTTTTTTTTCTCCTGAGTGCTTTTCAGGATGCAGAAATATAATTCCTAGCCCTCCCATCCTACTACCTTTATAGTGAAAGCTCTGATAGTACGGGAGCAGGGATGATAGAAGACTCACACTTCTCTCACGGTCCTGTCCCAGGAGATTTATCGCCCGAAATCCCAGCGCTATTAATTGACAGTGACAAGCTTTATGTTGTTCCCTACGCCTGCCCACACAATCATCAGACATCCTACTACCTTCTGAGCCTTCTGCTTCTACTACAGCTTTTTTTTTTTTAGCAGATTCATCCTGGAAGAACTAGCCCACTTCATGACCTCACTGTCTTGAATTAAGGAACTGAGTTTCATACGCCGGCTTGACGTAACTAGGCTGCCTTTAGCGTAAGGATGAGTTAGCAAAACCAGAGTTCCTGGTTTTTTAACAAGATGTTTTAACTTGGCCAACTGCCAACAGGGGTATGGCATGTGCTGAGACCGCTGGTTTTAGGCACGTACACCCCGCCATCTAGGAAACCATAAAACAGACAAAACAGAGCCCTAAAAGTCGTGTAGCCTTACTGTGTGCTTATGGAAGATCAACCACAGGATGTATAGGATGTTTGATAAGATTACTATATAATGACTGACATTTCACCCCAGCAGAGGTGCGTTTTGCAGGGTGTGGACCCTGTGCTGTCCCCACCTAGCAAAAATAAAGGTGCTTCGGCGTACAGTCGGCTGCGAGCTGGTTCCTTTGAATCATTATACAAACCTTATGGCCCGGCACCAGACTGCAGCCTCCTCTGGAACACCACCTAACATCTGATTTTCAGCTGCCACCAAGGCTGCACACACAGGCATTATTGCAGATGGTGATGCAGAGCCCTCTAGCAGCCCAGA